TGTTATGCAATAGCTTTACAAGACTCAAAACATATGCATTATTGTATTTATAAATAGGTACATAGGATTTTTTTCATTCAACAGTAAATATTTAATGTATAATGTTAAAGGTACATTATGTAACTTTCTAGACGTGGTACCGTACGTCACCTGCATGATTCCACAGAAAAAGAATGTAAAAACCATACTCTGGAACATTCTCCATGGAGACAGATGAGTGTTATGCCATACTGTGGAAGATTATATCCAGTGGAACAGTATTTCCATGGAAAACTGCTCTCAACCAGGCCAAATAAGTGTCAGGTTTGTGGAGATGCAAGCTCCACTCAAGGATTCATAAATTAAAAAATACACTTACTGTACAAATTTGTTATAAATTTTAATAAGTAAGAAACAGTTTGTGCATGCTTTTTTGTTACATTGATAATTTTTTTTTTTCTCTAGAAGCCTCCTTAGCCTTGAATAACACATTGAGGAACTGTTATGTCACTTTTTGTAATTGTTGGTTTTAGAAATCTTCTAATCTTCTAATGAGCTTTGTTAGGATAGATTATTTTTCTTCAGTACATTTTAGGAGTGATACATTTTTAAATAAAGTTATTAAATAAAGTTTTTTGTGATGTTGATTTTATAATTTTCAATTTATTAAGCAAAAGTAGCAGTATCCCATGCACAATATAATTTCTAGACTATAGAAATCTTTAGCATGATGGCCATAGTATTTTTAATAAGTTTTATTAGCAGAGGTACAGTCTACTTAAAGTTAGTGTTATACTTTACACCTTCAACAAATCCACTGAAGAACATTTCCAGACATGACCCTGTGCAACTCTGTACAATTGGTGTCTGTGATAGTTGATACTCCAAAACACACCAAATCTAAAAAAATTAAAAAACTGTGCACTTTCTGAATTGTTTTGAGTTTGCTTTAGATTGTACAAATAGCCTCACTTAACCTGTTTCTTCTTTATCTGTTCTCTACCTCAATACTGTGCTCCCTTGTCAAATTTTACCTGCAAGCAGAGCACTATATTGGTGCATAACTCAAAAACAAATGCAAAATACTGTCCCTAGAGGAGTTGTTGATTTATAACTGATAATACAGATCTGTCTAATTTAGAGAGATACATTGATTTTGAAAGTAGGTTAACCTTGTCTTGACCCATGTCTGTTTCATCATTTGTGACATCAGCAGCAACAGTGGAATAAAATGTCAAAGTTGCAAAAATATGCAAGTTAATATAGACTCACAATATTTTAGTGGCATCAATAATATCATAAAAAAGATACCGGATTTTCCGCACTATAGGGCGCACTCATAAGCCTCCAACCCCATCAAAAAATTACTGCGCGCCCCACAATCCAGAGCGCTCTATACATGAATCCACTCAGGTGTCCCAGCACAACTTCAGTAAACTACAAAGCTGCACCACCCACAGCGCACTCAAACACGCACGGAGCAGACGGTGACCGTGCAGTGAAAAACACCCACAGCCACACTCATCACTCCACGTAGACGAGGAATAGAACGGAGGAACGAACCGAAAAAACAAGTGCAATGTGCCACTTCTAGCCACAACTGAACAACTCACTGCAAACACGCCAACAATCCAGAGGTCCCAGACAACACCCTCCCTACGCGCCACAATTGAACAAAGCCGAGAGTCCCCATGAACATGCCAAACAAGGTCTGACTGAGCCATCTAACTGTTGTGTTTCGTTTAATGCACCTTATATTCTGGTGCGGTTTATATGTGAAAAAAGTTCGAAAATAGACCATTCGATGACAGTGCACCTTATAATCCAGAGCGCCCTATAGTGTGGAAAATACGATACTATTTGATACTAAAACTGGTATTGAAACTAGATACTGATTTGAGCAAGTATCGGTACTAAAAAAGTCACATTCACAGAATAGAAATGATCCTTTCCTTTCCATAGTTTTAGAATGATCTTGTGGTATATTAGAGCAAGTATAATACCACATAGACTAGTATACACCCATGGACCACTATGCAACCTACCTGGAGGGATTACATAGATATAAGACTTCATGACAGAAAAGAAAGTAAAAGAAAGTACTGCAATTTAATGTTGAAAATTCCATTCTATTGTCTAACTAAAGAGTGTTTTTATTGTCATCGTGGTATCAGAATTGGTGCTAATAAGTCTATTCCTTAGCTGAAATCGAGTTTGAAATTTTAGTATCGTGACAAGACTACAATAGTTTACAAAGTACTGTGAATGACCCCACTGTAATAATAATACTTGATGATAGCAAACCCCTAGCGTTACACCTGCTTACCTCGCTGACTGATAGTAAATGCTGTACACACTATCACAGTAATATGTATTTTGTGCCTTTCGTTGCGTTGCATCAGCGCTGATCTCACAACAGTGCTGTGGTTATGGCCTGGGGCTATTCAGCTCAGTGAAGCGTCTGGGGAGAGTCATGCCATTTGTGAGCGAATAAAAACTCAGAATTCCTCAGATTATAAACACGATCCATGCAGGTGGATGAAAAGGAAGTTGTTGCTGTCCCTCTTCCTTGTTTTTGGTTTATTTGTTTGTTGTCACTGAAAATAATGCACTTTTATGTCTGTCTGGAATAGAATGTGTTCATTCTGTGAGCGTAACAAAGACTACTATGTTGGTTTGGGAGAGGGTGCAGGTATTGCGAATGTAAGCAAGTAATCCATGAATGGCAATGAGGATGGATAGGGGAAAGTAGCAGAGGAGATTGGAGTTGTAGTGATTTTACTGTGGTTGCGAAAAAGCAAGCAAGGGCATTCAGTTAACATTTGTAACCCCTATTTCAACTCTAATCTTGGATTTTTTGAGTATTTTTAAAGTAAAATAAGTAGGATTGTTCTTTGCAATTAATCAGATTTTAATCAAGAGATCCAGCCATTTCTAATTGTCAAGAATCAGCTTAGGTCTGAGTTTGAAGGAAGAAATTTGATGCTGAATGAATATTTGTGCTGAATGTTAATGAACTGATAGAGTTTTTCTCTCAAACGGAAAATACAGTTTGTTTGTTTGTTTGGTTGTTTTTTTTTATTTAATACACCAATTTGGATGATTTCAGCCCTGGAATTGTCAGTCTCTACTGAAAAATAGGTAAAAGGTAGCAGTTATCTTGAAAACTGCTGCTTCATCACATCACAAAGCATTTTGAGTTTTGGGGATGTAGACAGACTAATAATGCTGGATTGCTCAAACATGTGTGAATGAAACAAAACACAACTCCGGGTATGTTTTTTGAGGATGTAACAACATTGTAACATGGCTTAAAGCTCACAAGAGTCAATTATGCATAATACAGTAACTTTAAACTTAAGATAACACAGCTACAACTGTAAGAACTGATATTAATAACTCTTCCATGGCATTTTATTTCCTACTAATTCAAAACGAGAAATAAAAATCATTTTTTGAAGGTATCAGTTAACTGTATGTTTTCACACCTGCATAAAATCTCTGCAGTGGATTTGAGCATGTGATTGCTGTTAAAATGCCAAGACCTTGCCAAATGCTGTCTCGAAGTTTGTGTGCAGAGCTGGTTATCTGAAAATGTTTTTAAAAGCATCTTGTCCAAACACTGACCATGTTTACTCAAATGCTAAAAGTTGTTGTGTGGTAAAACTGTCAGTCTGACTCTGCCCCTGTGATAAGTCGCACACTTGGGTCTTGATTTTGATGAAACTCGGGAGAGCCATGCACTCCGAAATGACATTTTCTAAATTACTCTGTTTGGCCCAAGGTGGAAACGACAATTACCTGGCAACATTTTAATAACAAGTCATATCTCACATACAGCCTGGGGAATAAAGCACAACAAATTCTGTCTCCAGGGTTTGAGTTGTACATATTGGATTTTTAACTTTTTTTTTCCAGTTATTTGGAAACCACATTTCCCCTGAGCTAAAACCTGACTAAGGCTAACTTGCATATTTTGACAGTAATCGGACAGTGAGAAACAGAAGCAATGAACAAATGACAACTGCATTAATTAATTTGAATACAGTTTAATTGAAAACACAAAAATGCTGGCAAAATTGGTATTTAAAGAAACCTGCCCAACTTAGTCCACTTCATTTCCATTCCACTTTTACATTTTACAATAAATGCAGGCCTGCTTAACTTCTGCTCCTTAGGCAAGACACTTCACTCACTTTGCCTAATATAAATGTGCTGTATGTGGAAGTGTCAGTGGTGATCAGAGGGCATGAAGGCGCAGATTGGCCGCCTCACTTACATCAGTCTGCCCCAGGGCAGCTATGGCTACAACAGTAGCTTACCGCCACCAAGTAGAGAGTGAATGAATAATTGTAAAGTCCAACGTAAGCACTATATAACACATTAAAGACTTTCTGAACAACATACTGCACAATATAAAAAAACACATACACATACACAAAACGCATACACTATACACTATAAATAGCATTACACATTAATTTCAAAACTTAAAAAGTTAATGCAATTAATTAAATAAATATATTCACCTGTTGTCATGAGGGAGAATATTTGTTGTGGCCTGATAAGAGATTGTGCTGGTTTACAGATTTGAATACTCTAACCTGTCTATTGTGTTTTACTGTATCTTGAAAAACAGTATTTTTTGCAGAAAGAGAACACCAGCTGCTTTCTTTTTCTATGTTAATAGTCACATTTATATGTAAAATACTTATCTTTTGTGTTAATTCTCTGTTATTCTCTGCTATTATCTGTAGTTTCAAAAGACACTAAATGATCTGTCTGAATGCAAAAACCTGCCTTGTAGTGGAAGAGAAACACATAAATCGTTTTATGAGAATAAAAGCAAGTGAAAATTGCTTTAAACCTGAAGTACAGTAAAATGCATTAACCAACTGATGAAAAGGGCACTTGAATAAAAGAAATCAGAAATTGAAAAAGAAAGTACTTCAAATGGGTTTATAAAATCATTTGAAACAATCATAATAATTTCTGTATTATTTTATTCTTTATGCTTACAGAACATCCCAGCACTGCCTTGTGGTAAAGCCCTATATTCCTACGAGGGCAAAGAACCGGGGGACCTCCAGTTCTCCAAAGGTGACATCATCATCCTGCGACGTAAAGTGGATGACAACTGGTACCACGGTGAGCTGAATGGTTGCCACGGTTTCCTGCCAGCCAGTTACATCCAGCTGTTGCGGCCCTTGAGCCAGACTCCGCCACAAGGAAAAGCACTATACGATTTCGAGGTCAAAGACAAAGATCAAGATAAGGACTGTCTGGCATTTAGCAAGGTAAACAAAACACACATTTATGCACACAACTCGATCAATGGAGCGTTTTTTTGTTGCAGACAGCCTGGGAAGAAAGGAATAACATCAGTGGCATATGTGCAATATACTGTGATACTATATTATTGTATTTATATTGCAAGACAGAGGCCCTTAGGGGGTTTGGAAAATAATAGGCTAGTTAATAAAAGTAACATTTGTGATTTATTACAGACTTTTAAGCGGTATTTCTTAGTGATGTAACAATAACCGAAATATCGTGATATTGTATTATCAAAAGTCTTACAATAGTATCGTGGGCTGTCACAATATATCGAATTACAAGTTTCTTTACTTAAATGCATGGTTTTATAGAAGCAACATCTTGTGAACATAGGGAACTACATATCCCATGATTCATTTCAGTGCAGAAATATGTTTTTTACTTTAATTCTTGGGATTATGACGGAAATAATTCACACCAAAATCTTGTTAAGGTATTATAAAAGCAAAAAGTATGCTGTCTACAGTTATATAAGCATCTCCAAAATATCACAATAAATATTGTACCGTGAGATGCATATCATGATAATATCGTACCAAGAGATTTGGATATGATTACATCCTTAGTATTTCTATATCATAAAGAGTCTCTGTGTTTCTTACAATTTGCCATATTTTTAACCACTGCGCCAGGGTAAATCTTGATTTTGGCAACAAATCATTAACCTTTCAGTAAATAAATACATGTGATGGACAATGCTGTGTACTGGTAGACTCCTTCTTTCCCCAGCCACTATAGCCACTCCTTTAGCTTGTGAGCCTGCTCCTCTGACTTTGACAGTCACTCCCACCTGTTTCTGAAGCTTCCACGTGCTTTCTGTCCTTTTCTTGCTTGAAGTAAGTTTTAAAGTCTCTGTAGAAGAGCTGTGTGCTCCTCTCACTCTGTCAGTCTGTTAGTTTTCTGCCGCTGCTTCACTGGTTGCAGGGGAGGGGACAGATCAGCACTATAGACAGCAATGCATGCAACTGTTGTTGAAGTTCTTAATAGAAATTAGAAATCATCTGCAAGTTTGACAACCCTAATTAGCTGTCAGTTAGATGTCAATAAATATAGTGCACACTGCAAGGTTAAACACAATAGAATCATAATTTGTTGTAATCACATCTGTCTCCTGTCTGCTGTCTGCTGTAGTTTAGACCCTTATACAAACATGTTATGAAATGCATGCGAATCTTTAAGTTAAAGGTGCACATTGTAACGTGTAATGTGTTAGGGTGTGGCCTGCTTGTCCCCATGGAGATGTTATTACTTTGCCTGTAATGTTCCACAGTAAGACATTATTTTATACATACATAGATATAGATATATATAGATGGTGGCACCTGCTTGTCTCCATGGAGATAGACAAGTTTAATGTCATACTGCTCTTCCTATATTTGTTCCTTGAGGAGAGTTCTAGTGCTTATATGAGACAACAGAGTGTGTGACGTTGAAAAAGCTTGTTGCTTTGTGGCACAGTAATAATTTATGGCCACAGACCCTCTCCTGTAGCCAGCGTTGAAAATGTAAACACAAACCACTTCAAACAGGACAAACAAACATTGATCTGATTTTGTACACAGTTCAAATGTTACAAGACACATTGAGAGGGAGTATCAAGGCCAGGTCGTCAAGAGTCTTTTGTATTCCCTGCTGCTTTACTGCTCCTTTTTTTCTGCTCCTGCCGATGCTCATTTATTCTTTGTGATCTAATATGTATCCTCCACTGTCTGTATACTCAGAGACAAAACAATGAGGTCATTACATTATACACTTAGGATTAGCTTATCACTAGAAACAATAATATAACCAGACAGACTTTGACTTATCAGATACTGAATTAAAGGTATTCACCCTTTTCTTTTTCTTCTAGCATTGCCACATATCCTTGGTGCATTATTTAAGAAGATATGGTGCCCATAACATTCACAGTTTGATGTTCAATCAATCTAGGGTTAAAAGTAATCATTTGTCATACAATCATGTCTGTGTATATATCAAAGAAATGTGAAATTTTAATGGAAATACTTGAACCACACATACTGTACATCCACTATGAATGCTATTTTTTTTTTTTTTTTAACAAAAACTAGCATCTAAACTTAACATTTTTGGCTGTAACCAGTTTCTGTTTTTGCAATAGAGAGTAATTCTTCCCCCTCTTCTGTTGCTTTACAGTGTGAGTCATTCTGAAGTGTTTCCAATTAAATGACTGCCCACTTTGGTCCTGCCATTGTCATAGATAGCTGCAGTGGTATTACCACGTTCTAATTAGCCGTCCATTGTTCTAGGCCTAAATTAATCAACAGGTAATGAGTGAAGATCAGGGGGATCTACTCTGTGTTGCAGGGCTGTGTGTCCCGGTGGTAGAGACCAGTGTGTGAGAGATTGTTTTCTCTCTGTAAGTCGTAATTACTCAGTGTGAGCCGTACACATCTCATTTAGCTCTATTATCACTGGCCTCCATAATGGCCCCTCTCCGCCATATTGAGCTGTGCAGGGAGCAGCAGCGGGAAGTGAAATATGTGCATCAAAACAATTAAGGCTATTTGGGATTTCTGTGTAAATGAGACAAGTTATACTGTCAAATTTTACTCTTGTGAATTTTTTGAGAAACTTTATTCATAATTACTGTGAACAAAATCTTGGCTCTTGACTCACAAAAAAAAGTGTTTTATATATAGATCATAGTTATCAATTAATTAATCTTGACCCTAGCAAACTGCATAATATTATTATAACATTATATTGATTTTGATATTAAAATACAATTAAATATATTTGTAATTTATTATAATGTAGCTTGCCTGAAGCCATCATATGCAGGGCCAAAGCTTGGGGTATGAAATTATTCCACCTTTGTAACTTTCACTAGAACTAGAACTTATTATTTGTATTTATTTTTTTATTTGCCTCTGCTGGGAGTGATTTTTGTAAAGACTCTGTTAGAGTTACTTATCAGTAAAAGACTGTATGGTAATACAGTAACAATGGAGAGTAGCTTTGCTGAGAACATGCTCTTTGTCATTCCTGTGTCATTACAAACCAGCCCTGACTCCTGTCTCCTCTGCTGTTTCAGGACGAGGTGCTGACGGTCATTAGGAGAGTGGATGAGAACTGGGCAGAGGGCATGCTGGGAGACAAGATCGGCATCTTCCCCATTCTCTATGTAGAGGTACGTTGGCTCACACTCACAGACTCACACACACACTCACACATGCAGGCTTTCTATGCTTCTTTATGACATTACACTGACTTACATTAATTTCCTGTTGACTAACCCTAACCTTAACCATACTACTTGCCTAACTTTAACTTTAAACACCAGCTTTAACCCATTATAACTCATATCTTACATTTAAATCCTGTAATAAAGGATACCTCATGGAGACCTGATTTTGGTTCCCATGAATTGATGCATTGTGTACAGATTTTAGTCCCCACAGTGTGATAAATAAACGCCCACACACATATATAGTGAAATCTGTGCATATCAATGCCATTTGTCACACAGAGGATGTTTTTTTCAAAATGATTTTGATATTGCTGCAGGAAACATGGAACCGATATTTGTCTAGTGTGTGGTGGTTGTACTCGCGGTGAAGCACAGCTGTATCATATGAAGTCTGAAACTTATGAATTATGGCTGAAGCTTCAGCTTGGATGGACGCATGAACGTCAGTCCTCTGAATAGTCCAAAGTTTGTTATCAGTGCACTGGTAATTCATAACATAATTTATGATTCAAATAATTAATTAATTGTATTCTTAACAATAAAATCAATATTCCTATAGCCCTCTGGTATACAGAAAAAAAATTACAAAACCCTCTAAGTAGTTAAGGTCGATAATGAAAGTTTGTTTACTGTTTCAATTACATTACATTGTGGAACAGCTTCAAAGTTTTTACTATATATGTTTGTATAATCCTCTTGTTTACACAGACTGCAGTGATGGTGCTGCTTAACACAGTATTCTTATAGTAGTGTCTTCTTTAAGGTATTTCCTCTATAAACCTTAATAGACCCAACAATGGCTTTATTTACTCTTTCTGTGTTTCTTACTTTCTTTAAGACGTTGCCCAGTTTGCAAACTAAGGGAAAATAAAAGTTTCCACATAGGAGCACTTTCTTGGCAAAAAAAGCTAATTAGGTTTGGACAATCTTAAAATACTGTTCATTTTGCTTTGTTAGAAGTATCTGAATAATTGACCTTTTATACGGCTTTGGACCCATAGGCACTGCAGCCTTAATGCCACCTCTGCTTAGACAATAGCTGCTTTCTATAGGGCATATGCTCTAGCTGTTTATCATTGGTGTAAAATGACAAGTCTTTCATATAAGGAAGTGTAAACCCAAATGAAAATTTTGCTGCACTATGCATATTTTACAGTTGCAGTGTTGGAAAGTAACAAAGAGTAAATGTAAAGGTATTTTATTTAATACATTTTAGGTGTACATACTGTATTTTCTATACTTTCTACATATATATATATATATATATATATATATATATATGTTTGTTTTTTTACCCACTAAAATAAGTCACTTGGAATCAAAAACTCATTTCCAGGGACTTCTCACACTGTGCCTTGGCATCACATCCAATGCACTCAGCATGTTTTTGATAAGAAATTAATTACAAGTCAAACCAGGACTTGCTGCATCCCTTATTACTCACTCTTATTCTTAATTATTCTTTTAGGACCTCTTCTACAAAGAAATATCATAAAACTCCATTCAAGTGGCTGTTTTTGTTGCCTTGTTTTTGATGTGCCAGTGTCCTCATATCACCACTGTCCCACAACACTTTGTGTTAGTAGCCATCATGGGCCCAGCCTCTCTGAAAGGCAATAAGGTCGCTGAAATGAGCTCTCCAGCCAAACGACTCTCATAGGTGAAGGTGATTATGTAGACACACATAGCCATACACAGTGTAGTACATAGACACCATTGGGTACTTATTAGATAGAAAATACATCAATAATTTAGAGGCGTTGATCATGCTGACACAGCAGGCTCAGCGGCATATTGAGCTGGTGTTTGTGTGTGGGGAGCTTTAATGAGGAGGCCACAGCTGGACGTCCCATGTGCAGCCTGACTGTGCTCAGGCTGGGACAGGGAAGGAAGTGACTCTTGTAAATGTAGACTTACTTTAGGACCGCAAAACACGCTGTAATGATTAATCGAATAATTGTGTCTAGTCCACTAGAAAAAAACACATAATGCCTAACTTTTATGTTTTTGCTGACTGGGTGATATGTAGCTGAAAACATTAGTGATTTGAAGCATTATTCTGTGAGGATGTCATCATGTTGTGCTTTTCTGTTTAGAACTGTGTTTGTGCAAAGAGCACTTTGCTCAAACACAGTTTTAACCACCCACTGTTCCTATTGGTCAGCCTCCGAGTGAATAACAAGTAATTAAACCAATCATAGTGAACTCTCAAAAAAAATATCTTGTTACCTCTCAGTTGCATGTATAAAGATACTAAGTGCATGAGGAGTGCTAAAATATAAACTGTAATCTAGGCCACTCAGAATTTCCCTCTTCACTCAAATGTTAATACTTACAAAAAGTGTTATGCAGTAAAATATGCAGTAAGTCTTTTTGATTTTTATACCAAATTGTTATACAATAATGGTATGATTCTTATGGGCTTGATTACTATGAACGCTGTGTTTTATATTATTCTTATTCTTCTATTCTTAGTATTTAAGAGCTGATTGAGATCTCCACAGATGCAGTCCAGTGAAGAACCATCACTATTAATGATTTATAGACTTGTATATTCAGATTGTGTTTTGGGGTTAAATCAATGATTTATTAATTCATTCAAAGTAGATAACTTTTAATAAGATTTGCAATTTGGTTTTACAGTCAACAATGAAGACATAAGTTTTATCTATTAAATCAATGTCTTTCAAGCTTTAATGAAGTGGCCTGAGGTAATGAGAGGTGGTTGCATTTCCCATATTAGGGAATGTAACTATTTAGCTTTGTCTGCATACTATTGTGCTTTTATAAGCTCTCTTTCCCAATAAAGCTTAATAGACCCAGTAAGACCTAATTTACTTAATGTGTTATAAAGAAAAGTTTACACAAATGGATTTAGTTTTTCTTCTTTGTAGGTCAAAAAGAAAAATACAGTTAATATGGCATCTAAGATGAAAGATAGAATAGAGTGGTGTACTGTATGTTCATGTATTCTATATTGCATTCATAACCACAGATAAAGGCCTAATGAGGAGGGCCCAGCTGGACGCCCCCTCTCCTGTCTGTCTGAGTGCCTATCGGGTAAAGAGCCTCTTGTAGCTGTTGTCAGGAGTAGATTTTAGAGCCCGCTTGTGTTAATATTTGGCAATGGAGATGATGTTCCTAAGCCGGTGATTAGGGATTTGATATGACAAAATAGGCCCAAATTACATGGTGCACGTGTGAAGTGATTGGCAGTCAGCTCTTGGAGCAGGATTCTTTCGTTCATTTCCTTTAGATGAAATTATAGAGCTTGATAAACGATTCTGGAGTGAGTTTGCGTTGGCACGTCTCTCTCAGGTACCCTTCAAAATGAAAACCAGGTTAGCCTGGCAAGAAATCAAGTGAATACATCACACTGTCACCTTGTGTCTGAAAGTATATACATTGTGTTGACATATGTAAATTACAACTGCATTATGCAACTTTGGAGGGTGTGAGTGCGTTAGAATGTTCCACAATATGGCATCAAACTTATATATTTCCAGAAACAGGCAGGTGATGCCACCAAGCCAAGTTAGAGGTCAGATCTGTGGACAGGCAAGCATAATAGGCATACATGGTTTCCAAAAAATTTTTAGATAATGCCATATTGCCAAGTAACATGGAGAAAAACGGGTACTGAACCACGCAACTGAAGTTGGCACCTTTAAAAAAAAAGATCAGGTAGCAGACAAATACATGACTACACTATGGTCCATGTTTTTTGTTTGTTTTTGTCTGGACAGTCCCCATTATTGCTACATTTTGGTGTAATTAATGTGTGAAAATGTCTAAGCTAAAGTCAAATATTTATTTTAGAATCTTTATACCACCTGTTTCTTTTTCTTGAATGAGCAAAGTTCTAACAACTCATTGTACATGGTAATAATATGAATATCTTAGCAGTTGAATAAGAGTAATTTTAATACAAAGCAATCTGTAAATGCTGAAGTCTGTGGCCTTGTTCAGAAATGTGATTAGGCTCTGTAGGAGACTGTGGTTGTGATAGTGTGAGATTGTATTATGAATGGAAAGTCTTTTATGGCAATTGGTAGCTAATTCTTCCTCCGCTTTAAGACAGAAACTGGGGTCACCAAACTTTTTTTTCTGAGGGTCATATTATCGCTCCTGACTGTGATGGGGGGGCCAGGGTCAGGTAGGCCGTATAACAGAATTGTGGGACCCAGACCAAAATGACCACCAGCAGGTCTCATTGTGTAGTAGAAATTACTAGTCTGGCACAGCCATCCACAATAATATATCACCACCCAAAGGAGAAAATACCAAGCCACAAACAAAGTAATGTGGTCTACTCCATTTAGTGGAGCGAGAACTACAGTGAGCGCTACATTGGAGAACCAAAACAGCCACTTCATAAGAGGATGTACCAACACTGACAAGAGAGGAGCAGTGGACCTCAGTCTGCCGTACATCTACATCCCAAAGCCTCTAACCACTCCTTTGAGGATAGTGGGGTACAGATCTTAGCCACAGGAAATAATTGGTTTGAGAGAGAAGTTAAAGAGGCTTTTTGTTAGGAAAGACAATCGATCAGGTGTAAACACGCCCATCAGTTGCCTGAATGATTATGCTAATATGACCCCACACTCAGTGTAGTTCAATAGACTTAGCTAACTGTAAAAACTGTAAATAAGTAGAAGAAACTGTAAATAAGTAGCTGTATTAGTTTCACTGTAGTTTCAGTGTCGTTAGCTCCTCCCTACAGGCAGATATATGGCAATGTCCACCAATGTCCACAATGGATGAGCTGCGAATTGTATTCAAACAAAATAAACTTTTGTCCAGTTGACAAATTGAATTTCTCCTTTGAAATGGATTCTACCTGGACGACTGAGGGATTTTACACACTTCCCCAAATATATTTAATGAAATACAAGAAAAACTCACTATTAAACTGCTTTATATTTAATCAGACAAAGATGTTCATATTTTGTAAATGAGGAATATTACATTTCTTTAATTGAATTTTAATTTGCACACCTACTTGTACTAGTCCACAAGAAACTGCCAGGCAGGGAGGGCACCTGAAGTAAAATTTTATAAAAGCAAGAAATTAAAAAAGATTGGTCTTCATAAACAGAAAGTCTCTTCTTTTATTAGTTCAATATAGTCCACTTATCTTTCTCACATCTCTCCCTCCTTGTTTTATATGAACCCTGGTGTGTGCGTTTGCATGTACTTTATCAGCTTCACCCTTTTTCGCAGTGCAGCTATCAGATCATTATTTCCAACCTCCCTGCTATTACCCACTGAGCAAGAAAGAGAGGAAGAGAAAGAGGCCGCTCATCTGTCCTAAAAAGCGCAAAAGAACAGAGCAGGTTTGAGTTTAACACATAACAGATGACCTTGGAGATTTCAGGCAGCCAAAAACACCAAGTGAAGAATTGTCTCTATCAAGAATATGAGCTCCCTTCTCCGTTTTAGTGTGCCCAGGGTGACGCGAGGGAGCCAGTAGTTACGGGGGGAAAACTGACAGAGCAGCGAAGGCGTGGGGCTTCTGCTGAATCCTCCATATGAGCAGTGAAAAGGAGGTTGTAATAGGGAGATAATTGGTTCCCCGTGCGTGCCTCTCTGACCTCCTGTGTCTAAGCAGGAGTGTGTTTAGACTGCGACTTTGGTCTGGTCTCGTGAGGGCGGACTGACTTATAGCACTGCATCAATCCATCACACTCATTAGCATACGGGTTGCTTTGATTAGCATTTCTATTAATATGGAAATGCTGCAGCCCTACATTACGCCTGAGCCAAAGCTAGGTCTGTCCCGTACACTTCCCATCTCTCACACACAAATGCATGGCTGCTATTACTCTGAGGGGGTTTAGATAGTTAAGGTTCCACTAAGAAGATCTGAGTCCCGCATAAATTGGTTTTGAAGGATGAAGAGGTGAAGTAAGCCATATTGTCATGCCATTAACGGACGCCATGCATTACCTACATTGTTATTAGATGATGTGAAATTTAAATGTGTGAGTTAGAAGTGGGTTAAGATGATGATGTCTCAGGTGAAGTGGTGGATTTAAATGATCTATTGTGAATTTGTGAATAATTGTGATAGTGAATGAACTTGAATGAAACCACCTAAGAGCTGGCATGGCTGGGTGTATGGTAACAAAATAGTCAGTGTTTCTGCATTTTTGTTAAGAATATGTCGCTGTTGACTGTCCCAAGCTATGATAAATTTATTGTTTCAGATAAGGAATCTGGCTTACAAACCTGTTTTTGCAGCGGGTAAAACACAATATAATAGAACTAATAGAGTTTCATTATGGACTAGCCTCGTTTGCCATTTCCTGATATATTCAGTTTGAATGTGAAGAATCTGGGACCAGACACAAATCAGACAACTGTCCATAATTCTCTGATTGGTTAATTTGCCTGTCAATCATGCCCATCGGAACATGAAGTTCTTGCAAATTGTAACAAAAGCAAGTAGTCTTGGCTGATGAGACAAATTACTGAAAAGAGTTATTACGTTTTGTACCTGTACAGGAAATTATGTTTGCTGTCTCATGAGTATTTGTTCAGACAAAATAATCCAGTAAGTCCTAATAAAGGTTTTACAAGAAGCTCTCTCAAAATAACATTGCCAGTGTACATATAACAAGTCCTAGGCAAAATGCGGCACAGGAGGCTGCGTTTTTACATTTTAACAGCACAGATGTCCACGATTTCTGCTCAGAAGTGTCACATTAGCCACATTACCATACTCCAACTTCTCTGACTGTTCTCTGTTATTGGCAATGTAGAAAAATGACTGTTAGCCAAAAGTGTTGAAAGTTTTTAATTTAAAATTACATCTAACAACTTTTCCTACAAATTATCATTTATAATTGGCTATGGATATAATGTATAATAATAATTCATCCACTTGCTCACCATGTTATTGCTTTGCCTACAATGTTCTACAGAAGGGGTCACCAAACTTTTTTCTCTGAGGGTCACATTATCGCTCCTGACTGTGATGGGGGGGCCAGGGTCAGGTAGGCCGTATAACAGAATTGTGGGACCCAGACCAAAATGACCACCAGCAGGTCTCATTGTGTAGTAGAAATTACTAGGCTGGCACAGCCATCCACAATAATATATCAGCACATAATACCTGGCTGGCACATATTTGTTTATCGTTTCTCGTGGTCCTTACTAACTAGTCCTTAACTACACAACAGTGCTGCTGTCCTTAACTGCACTACAGAACTCTGCGCGTGTGTTGACTGTCACTGTTTGATCTCGAGCGTGTCAGGCGATGTAAGTTCAGCAGCAAATTCAGTGGCAATTGTAAATACGTCATATAATTATTTTAAAATAAATATAAATACTTCATATAAATATATATTTTTTTATTGAAAAAAATCAACAAAATACAAGATGCAAACATGTTATTATTTCCCAAAAAGTAATTAAAGTAATTAAAATAGTCCATGACAACCTTTTTAGGATTGCCTCATAGGTCCAGTTCAAGTGATGATGGGCAGAGAGGCTGGGGGCCGGTCAAAGGGATGCGGCGGGCTGGAGTCAGCCCATGGGCCTTAGTTTGGTGATCATTATTTTACAGTATGACATTAAACTAATCTATCTTTAATTTATTACATTACAAGTGTCTCCATGGAGATAGATAGTTTTAATGTTATACTGTGGAAGATTCTTGACAAACCAATAACTTCTCCATGGAGACTAGCAAGTGGCCGACCCTCTATCAGAAAATTTCTATAGCACATCTTTAAGTTTTTCTGTATGACTCACATTGTCCTCTGTTGTGTCCTGGTACAGATCTGAGTAAGCCAAACAGAGGCAGCGAAGAGCTTTCAAATCCCCTGCAGATACTCTCCTGTGATAAACATGACGCTGCTGAAAATCCACTGAAATCACCACAGAGGGAGAGCTTACATAGGCCTATATAATGCTGTAATGATCACAACCAGCTCACAGAGGGCCTAGTTTGCAATGATAGCACTGTTTTTGGTGCCAATTTTTACAATGAAAAATAAATAGTGGTGATACAGAGTGGAAATTAAAGATTAAGTTATTTATCTGTCTTTATACATCCAAGTTGTACAACAAAACTATGTAATCAGATGTTTTTTGGTTAGTCCTGATTAGTTGCTATATCCATGAATGTCATCATCCACCATCTGAGAGAAATGAATAGTAGTCTTTGTTTTTGTTTTTTTTCCTAATTTAGTCTTCGTTTAGTCTTGGTTTACGCTGATAAATATAGCCATAATATTTTGTCACATATCCTTGCATAGCCATTACATCTCTGCATTAAAAATACAGTAGTACAACTCGCTGTGTTAAATATTAAAGGGACATCCAAATCTACAATTCAATGTGATTTTTTAAGAAGCGACAGAGCCTGTGAGTGAATGAATCTGATACATTGAATACTTCTTGTAAAATTAAGTGTTTCCTCTGTTAAAAATACTAGCAAAAACAAAATTGTTGGTGCAGCACTTTATCTTTGGGTTGTTTTGTGTTCTGATGCCTGAAAGGAGAATGAGGTAAACAGGGTCTATCTAGACCAGCAAAAGTAAGTGATGATTGTTATGGTGCTGGTTGACACTTGCCACACACAATACAGGCTAAAAAAATAAGTTTGCTTGTAGTTATAAAAATGTGTTTTAAAAATAGCAGTTTTAACTTCATGAATCAGTAGTCAACCCTGTAATTAACCCTTAACTAGAATGCTCAGTAGTTCAATTAAAGATCTGACAAATGCATTGTATACTTTAATTGGTCCTTGGTCTTGATACTTTGCTCCACTTGTCTAACAATAGTATCAATGTGGTGTACATGTGAGTGGTAGTCAGAGAGGACTTTGGGCAGCTGTAGCTACAGTGAATAGTACAATGTAAAATTAGTGTTCAAAATGTCTATATAAGACTGAACACATTTTTTATCATTATTGAAATATATTTTTGCTCCTTATTAAACCTTATTGAGTATTACTTTACTTTTGACTTGAACTTGAAGTAACAGACTTGAGACTTACACCTCTGCTGCCATGTTATCAAATGTAATGGTATTATAAAGTAGCAGTACTGTAAAATAAAGTTTGATCAAATTTGACCATATAGTTGTATTGTTTGTCTCATTTGCAGCTGAATGAAACCGCCAAACAGCTTATGGAGATTGACAAACCCACTACAACAAACGCCCCTGGTCCGAGCTCTGAGCCTTCAACGTTGGGCTCCTGTTCGTCTGGCCCCTCCCCCTGTGCCTCACCATCCAATGGGAACGGCTCTGGCCCACGGCGAGGGGAGGGCAAGAAAAACGCCAAGAAAAGGCATTCGTTTACGGCGTTGTCAGTCACCCAAAGAGCAGCACAACTCAACAACAGACACAGTATGGAAATCTCCAACCCAGTGCTCATCAGCTCCTCTGACCCAAGAGCCGCTGCACGCATTCAGGTGAATACAGGGTCACATTTCTTGGTATTATCAAAAAGAAAGAAGCATTTAGCTACCAGTTATTCTTTTGAGTGATTAGATTAGATAGGATGTAAATTAAAGTAAATTTGACCCAGATAAAACCTCTTCTCTCCGCACATGAGAGAGCATGATGTTTTGGAGTCTATTTATAGTTCAGGTAACACAGTTCAATAATAATTCTTCTCAATAATCATTTAGTTGCAGTTAATCAATTAACTTTTATCTTTGATTGGCAACAAAATTCAAAGTCCAATTATTCTAATATAGTGAAATAAGTAAATCAACCTCTGAAACAAAAATAATTCTCTATTTCATAGTTTACTTAAACATATAAAGCCTGCAGAGTTCAGAAAATGTTGATACTTTTCATGGTTATATGGTGCAATCTCTTGGGATAGAGATCTGAAAATGTATAGAAAAATATTAGATCTCAAAATGTTCAGATCTTAAAAAGGGTTTTCACACATTTGATTTTCCAGTGTGGAGCAGCTCAATGTAGACACACCTGTTCAAATACGTGCGGATTACAAAGCCTGTAGCACATCAGTCTGATTGATTCATTGATTTTACTGTGAGCTCATGCAGTAAACACAGGAGTGTGAATACAGCGAGCAGTGGTTTATTTACTTCCCTTTACTTTTCATTTCAGTCTCAGTTTTATTTCAGCAAAACCATTTAACGTCAAAACACATCAACCAGCTGCGCTTAGATTTAACTGCTAATTTTCTGCTTTCTCTCACTCAAAAACTGTTCATTGAAAATACTTTACTGTGAAATATCCATACTATATAGACCCACAACCTACTGTTCTTAGTCCATTTTATGATTGTAATAAACTGTATAGCATCCTATCCATCTTTAACCTTGTACCATTTAGTGCAACACTACCTAGTGTCCCTATGAAATGGTTGATTTTGAAGTACAGGTATTGGTAAATGAGGTATTTTATACATGTTTTTATGGTTTCTAACAAAAATATTAGGGTTAACATATGTGAATTTGTGTATTTAATTAAATCCTAACCACCCATTTGTTTGTTTCTTGTCAGGATGCATCTCCCCCTGGTCCCTCCCCCTCTTCGGCAGGGGTGATGGTGCCCCCCAAAGTGGCGTCCATTACCTCTGAGCTGCTGGCCCACGCCAAGGTGCAGCTGCCTCTCAACATGTGAGTAGACCACAACCTCACATATATACTGCCTAAGGTCTTAGGTTGCAGGATTAGTTACAGTTGAATCAAAATCATCCTTTAAAATATTACAACAGCTGTACTTATTTAAAAGTGCACTATGAAACTTTTCTGGGATGATCCACCACCTGCTTGTCTCCATGAAAATGTTATTTGAGATAAATCTTTAGATCTTTATTTAGGGCTGGGTGTAATGGGGAAAAAAAGAAACATGTTTTTTTCCCCAATACAGACCGATCTTGATTTTCAGTGCGATTTTTTTCCATCTTCCATCTAGACAGGTGGGATTCAGGCACAAAGAGCACGACCAATAGGATAGGATCTTTTGATATGACCATTAACTCCTGAGAAATATACCCAGTTTATACAATATATAAAGCAAAAAAACATGTGCTCATTACTGCTCTCAACAGAAACATGTACGATGTCTGTGCGCTAAATGAGGTCTTAAGTTTCACTCATAGATGGTGAGAAAATAGTTGTTTACTTTCTGTTACTTGGATTATAATGATAAAAAAACACCAGAGGAGAGAAGGAGAGGAGAAAAGGTGAGGAGCTGTGGTAGCATCAGAGAGGGAGGGGGAGAAAGGCAGACGCATACGAAGAGGCAGAGGGAAGGAGACACTGGACTTTTGTGCAGATTTAAGTTTTGTAAACTTGTGAGATGCAAGGACATATGAAGAGGCATAAAGAGTCTGTGGCCGTGACTCAGAGCTTTCACCTTAAACAAAAGGTGAAAGGTCTTACTGCTAGTAGAGTAAGACGAGCAAACCGCTGTGTAATGATGTTTAATTAAGATGCACAAGATAACACAAAGTTACATATTGTATTGACTTAACAAGATGGACACTCTTAAATAGATCAAGCCCACCTGATCCATAAACAAAGTGAATTATATTAAGTTGAAAATCAAACCTTTCATGCCACTTCCAGATGGTCTGAGTGGTGCCAGCAATGTGCAAAACTGTTCTATAATTTACCTCATTATTAACAGTCAGAAGACACAGGGATTGTCAAGGAGACTGTGCTTTTGCTGCTATTGTAAACTTTCTCAGTAGGGATACAGGGTCACATGTTTTTAAATAGTTTGTGTATTTGTTTTTAGAAATGCTTGATCCCAAAGTAAGTGTGCTACATGTTTGTTTCCCATGTGTTATGTTTTTCATCTTCATCTTCTATACTTACAGGTGCACTATCTTCAACTTTCTGATGGAGGTGTTCGCCACTTGCTGTTCTATACGGAGATGTTATTTCTTTGCCTGGAATGTACCACAGAATGGCATTAAACGTAAACATCTTCACTGAGAGAAGTAGTTGACGTACACTCCACCAAAAAGTTCCATAGTGCATCTTTAAGTTTTCCAATTTTATAATACTTCTGACCCAAACCCTGGCTAAACTGAGACAGGTTACCCAAAATAAAATTTAAATAAATATAAAACATTTTCTTGCGCATCTATTTTATCTAAAATGCTGGATATGAGACTGTTTATTTTCAACTGATGCCTTGACTTCATAACATGAGATGAATACAGCCACATTGACAGTTTTAATAACATCAAACTGAAAGCTCCCCTGTAAACACAAACACTCGCACACACATTGAATACCAGCACATGTCCTGAGCGAGTTCCGCGTTCCTGATGAGGTCGGACGATTCCATCTTGACCTGGCAACTGTTTCTGTTGCCATGGGGAGACGGGAGGATGGTCCCCGCATCTGTTACCAAGGCAACGGGGAGAGAGAGGGATGGAGAGTGAGTGAGAGAGTGAGGCATATATAGGGCTTGTTTACACTGTGGTCTTATCGTCCCCTCTGTCAGAGACAGGTACCACCAGCAGCACATAAACTACACGTGTCTTCAAAACGACATGTGGAGAGAAAACTCATTTATATGTTAACACGCTAGAAATACTAAACGTAGTGCTCACTGCTTACTTGCCTCGTAGGTTAAGATGCTAAACGCTTCATCTATCACAACTTGGCCGGGAAATGGGGACATATTGATTAGGCACGACTTCATAGCAAAGCATAGCATTTGAGAAAGAAAGGAAAAAAGCATTCATCTTCGCGTGGCAGCGTTCGTTCCTTGAAGAAAAATCACTTGAGGTTTCAGCTATGATTGCAATAGAAACAGAAAATCCCTAGCCACATTGAGAATAAAATACAGCAATTTTCTCAGTATGCCATTGTCATTTTTCACTGGTTATAATGGCTCATTGTGTGCAGTGATTTAGGATTTTACATAAAGGTACTATTGGGGTTAAGCCTCCTGTAGCTACTGTCAATCAAAATAACCAATAATCACATACATGGGCAAATTTGGACCTTCCCTGGCCTGAATCTTGAATGGCCTTAATCTTTATTAAAACAAGTATTAGAGCGCATAGAAATATAAAAGAAATAAAGAAAGAAATTTTTATTTTTAATTATCATTGTGGTAGTATCGAGCGTTTCTGTGTCGAAACATGAACCGTCAATACTGCCACTTTTGGGTCTTTCCGATCTGCTATGGTTAGTATCTGTTACCAGTGATTTAATGAATAAATGGAATGGTTAAATGGAAAAATGTAGAGTAATATACTAGTAGCGTAGTTAAGTCTGGCCTTTTGCTCATCCAACAGTTCAATTATTTTTGTCCTCTGCATTTGCTCGAGCAACCTGTCAGGAGCAGGGAACCCATCTCCAGATCTTGAGCTAGACTTCATCAGGGCTTAAGCTTGGATTCTACCTATTGATAATTTGTGATGCTAACTGGAGGCACTAAATGTGAAATTCTGTTATGGAAGTTGCATTTTAATCTGAGCTTTATTTGAACACAATCTGACCAGAAAGAACTGACTTATCTGGAACTACTACTACAGGTCTGATGATTTGTACTGTTAAAAAAATCTCTTACATATAAAATTACAGTGACAAGCTTGCTAGCAATAGTGAACAGTTTTTTCAACATTTTTTTCAAGTCACTCTCACCTTTTCTTGTTGAAAATCAAACACCTAAATAGAACCATCGATACTAATCACAGACTCATGAAAACACGCTTTTTAAAATCCATTTTGTATTTTTTTTTCTTGAGTTTTCAGACAATCTTAAAACTTTTGCCAGTGTTTGCTTATGTGTGCTTTTTGTGTCACCATGGTAACTACATGTCTACACCCCAGCGTGATGTCCCTGCAAAGTATCAATTGTGAATGTTTTGGGTTTTGGGATAAACAACCTCCCACCACAATCATACTTACTTAGGCAAGGACTGAGAAGTGTTTAGCTCTGATTGAAGTTGTGGTCTAATTGCCAACTATCCAACAGCAAGACATTAAGACAGACAGCTGATGTAAATCTCATGGCCGTCATGTTATACCTTGTTGTGCTGTTTGTGGTTTAGCAGACAGTGACGGTTAGTTATAAAATATACATGAATTTCTCTTACCTAGAAATGCTCCCTAGAGGAACAGCTAACTCTCTTCTCTACTTCTAATTTTAGTTTCTTAGATAGAGCTGGAAAATATAGTGTCTCACTCTGACTGTATAACACATTTTGAGCTACAGTTGACTTGATGTTTGAAGTAGTCCCTTATAGAATGTGCTCTCAGTGTTAGTCAGGGCTGTATTTTAATGCTAAATGTGCTGGCATTTTACAGTATTCAGTATCACTAATGGGTAGGGTTAGACTATAAGACTTATTGATTACTATTCTTTTATTTGACTGTATTTGGTAACTGAATTTAACTGCTACTCATTGTCTTCGCATGTAAATAGTTTATATGGTGTAATGTAAAATGTCTGAAGAATGCAAAAGAAAGGTGGGGATTTTTTTTTTTTTAATCCTGAAAAGAAACAATATTGACTATGCATTACCATTTAGCACAAACAGTGAAATTTCTTCCTCTAAAATCTGAACTTTGCTCCAAACTACATACTTTTTCTGATTGGCCTCATGATTAAAAAGACCCAATAATATAAGTGACAATTAGAAAAGAGGCACTTGCAAAACTCAGTTATTTGCATCCTACTACTGGGTAAGTTGTCGTATGTATCATGGTAATCCAGTATATTTTATTGGTATAAAGATGAATCACTTTGGTAGAGAGGTTGTATCCATAGGCGGACCAGACAGCTCTTTTCGTTGCCTTTACAAACACGTTGTACATCAAAATAAGGGAAGTTGTACTAAAAGAAACTCTGTAGCACACTATGGAGGCTTTCATCCTTTGATCCTCGCCACTGTACACTCCCCCAAACAAGACCACTTTTTTTTTTTTCTTTTTTTTTTTGGTAAAAATGTTGAAAAATGCTGCTTTATAAATATTTATCACACACATAGTAGTATTTTGACTGGTCTTTCTCCCTTCAGATACCTGGCCCTCTACGCCTACAAACCCCAGAAGGCAGACGAGCTGGAGCTGAGAAAAGGTGAAATGTATCGCGTCACGGAGAAGTGCCAAGACGGCTGGTTCAAAGGCACCTCGCTCCGAACTGCCGCGTCTGGAGTGTTTCCTGGGAACTACGTGACTCCAGTGTCCAGGTGGGCTGAATGAGAACTAAGCAACAAGATAAAAACAAATTATTCAAATGGTAAGATAATAAAAAGGCCAATGGGGTAAGGAAAGATCTCAATTGCAACTAATGGTTATTTTAGTGGCACATAAAACCATAACTTTCTCAGGTCTTGCTGTAAAACTGATAATCTGATATTTGCAGACCTAATGTGCGTAATTTTTTGAACAAGATTAGAACACTTCAGACTTTATGGTCGAGCAGATTAAAATATAATGTAAATGTAAGGAGTTGCTCAAATGGGTTAAAAGCATGATTATAGAACCATTAAGTAATAGAAACATCTGAAAAATAAACACATTTAAAATCTCTACAAAAAACCTTGGGATTCAATACAAATAGCATCTATAAAAGACGAGGACAGAGTGGCCCAATTTGTCCAAAGATACAAGACACAGCTGATACTAAAATGGTTTTATTTCATTGGACACTTCACTTATCAAGTCGCACAAGCAGGTTTTCTGTTGACGCGTAGACAGATATGAGACAGAATTGCACTGGCCGTAGCTATTGAGGAGACCCAAGGCTATTTTCCCTCCATCAGTTATCATCAATATCACTGAGGCTGCCGGAGCACAGTACAGCCAATGTCGCTAAGTCTCATTCCGGCACAGACAAATCAGGTTTCAACGTCTGTTAAGGTTTTGTCAACAATTTGCCTACACTTGTACCTGTATTAGTATTCCACCTAAAATATACAACTGCAGCCATGACACTGGTGATGCCTCATTAAGGACATAGCTTATCCATTATAACTTTCACCGTGTGAAGAGTATGACAAAAATCCGGCTCAATAAAAATTATGCTCTGTATGTATTTTTTCATGTGGAGATTTTGAGACCTGCTTGGTTTGATACTTGCATGGAACCATCCACCATATGGAAGGCATATCTATCTCCATGCCAACAAGAAGGTGGCACCAAGTTACGAGTCAGATCTGTGAAAAGGCAAGCCCACTCACACTAAAAAAAAAAAAAACACCTTATATTTAACAAAAGCAAGATATTTGAACTTCAATGGATTGGCTTTGGTCATTTAAATAAAGGCCGTTTAACTATATTTTTTCTTGTGCAATTTTTACTTCTTTGGAGCGCTTGGAGTCTGTTGTGTTTTAAGTTTTGATCCTTTTTCCAAGAGCACCCTCTACCTGCTCCCACTGATTGGAACACCTGTGCAGCAAATAGCCGCATTTTTGTTTTTTCAATGGATTATTATTGAACATTATGGAAAAACATCTCCATGGACACTGGCAGGTGGCAGACCTCCCACCAGAAAAGTAACATAGTGCACCTTTAATGTTAGACTGAAGTGACAGACATACTACTCTTCTAATAGTGCACTAGAGTTATACAGAAAAAAATGTTCAACTTGATCTAAAATATGTACATTGATTATAGCCCTTCTATCAGCACCTCTCAAACTTTTCCATTATACGTACACTGCATCTCCCTGAAAAGTCCACTCATACTCTTACTATTGAGTGGTAGTGCACCTCATTTCACCTTACTTTGCTATGAATGCATTTAGATCAGACAATAATTTCTCTACCGCACTGACCTTCTCTATATTGTTTGGTTGCTGTATAAAACCAGCCTGTCTCCTTTGTAGCTATAATTCTCAATGTCATTTTCTCGATTTAATTTACTGGCAGTTGGACACACAGCTGTCAGAAGTATGGTAATACTTGCAAATGTATGTGATTCCACCATTGTGTCATCATGTTGTGGTGCACTATAAAAAACACTATCTTGGCAGTGCTGTCTCCATTGCTCTTATTACGTATTCTTCTAGTTTCTCCAAGCACTCTCCTCTCCACACCACTGTCCCACTGATTTCACCTCTGGCCATCACAAGGAACAAAATAATGGGTTTTTATCAGCAGCTTTTCACTGCGGGAAACAAATGCTCCCCTCCTGAGTGCCCTAGAACAAAACAGACTGCCATGGATACATCTTTGTTGCCGTTCGAAATACAATGCAGTGGTCATAGTTTTTACGTTACTGTTTATGAGTTGAACATTTCAGACAGCAAGTAAACAGACCTTCTCGTTTATTTTGAAGCAGGAAAAGTACGTGTAAAAGGCGTGTAGATAAATTGTAGAAAAATGTTGACAGGCCACAAATTGTGATGTCTAGATTGTTTAAGACTGCTTACAGGCATTTTCAACTAAAGCTCTAATGTGGTGTTCCAGGTTTATAGCTGTGGTTATCCCAAAAACAATCATAAGAAATAATAAATATGCCTCTATGTTGAGATATACAAAATCAAATAACTAAAAAAAAGATATTCAGCTCTTTATGTAGTAGTTTTTATGTAGTTTTTAGATTTGTTTTTTATTATAATACTTACTCAATACTTCAACATAATACTTTCTTCTAGTCATTGTACATATGCCAGACTGTGTGTATTTGTGTCTGTGCGTATGTGCATGTGTGTTTCTAAATGCCTCCACACTATTTACTGCCATAATACACTGTTTGCTCTTCTTTCTAATAAAACATGTGGACCCAGAGATCTAAAAAACAATGCTGAAGAAGCTACTGCTGAATTGTTTTGTCCAAAAAGACCATTGCGTTATAGTTGCAATTGCAGCAATATATCGGGTATGTTACAATGTTGTGTCTTATTTATCTGAAACCATAAACTAAATATATCCTTTTGAATTTCTACTTTACTGCAGCCCAATACAAAATATCATAATCATTTTCATCATTACATTTTATATGCTAGTATTGAAAGCCATTAAAACTCAGAATGGTGTACAGGAATGATATTTGGCAATTTAATTACCGTCATTACTGCTGTGTGAGTAAAAACATTTGCACAGCCTGCTCACCTCATCTGTATTCTGCTCTGTGGTGCAGTGAATGTGCAAGGTATGATACAAAAATGGATTAGGGAAAGTAAAAATTATATTCAAAATAATAAGTTGAAGGAAGTGGCACAGACAAAGCTGGTGAGGGTTAATGAGGCTGAATGGGCGACTGGGGAATTCGAAGCAGGTAGAAGTTGCTGTTCAAAGTGAAGAAAGAATGACAGGGAGAAACAAGTGATAGAGAGGAGAGAGAAGAGAGATGGGGGAGAGAAAAACAAGAAAAAAGAAAGACAGAGGGAGATAAATGCTATGAAAGGAAGTTTTAAAGTGTTGGAGGTTGTTTGAATTGGGTTGTATTTGGGATTTGTTTAAAATGACTTTTCACCATTTCACCAGTTTCTCCCCATTTTCTTACAGTTTATCCAGGGCTGGGTGGGTCACAGAGGCACCAATTTGCAGAGTTGGGGACTTGGACTCAAGTTGGGGACTTGGACTCAAGTCAGAGTTGAGGCACTATTTTTAGGACTTGAGACTTGACTTGATAAAAAAGACTTGGAACTCGACTTGGACTTGAAGGTTAGTTACTTGGGACTTGACTTGGACTTGAGGCCTGTGACTTGATGCTTCTCCTAAAAATATATGTTTTTAGAAAATTATTTTGTCTTTACAGTTGATAAATGCAGTGCTTAATTTTACACGAACAAACTGGAACACATCCCTCCCACTTCTGTTTGGTACTTTGGATGGAACTGAAGTACTGTGATATTCAAATGTACTACAGTAATATGCAGTACAGTACAGTAAAACATTGACTTGGACTTATGGACGAGTGACCCGAGACTCGACTTGGATTTGCCTGTCTTTGACTTGGGACTTGACTCGGACTTGGCGGTTAAAACTTGAGACTTGCAAAACAATGACTTGGTTCCACTTCTGCCAGTTTGAGCAGTTTGAGTAGGGAGGTCTAGACTTCCCTTCCCACAGTGCTTCAGGTAATTAAAAAATATATATTTATGTTTTTAGAAAAGAAACAAAACAGAAATAATAAAAGCATAAAAAACAAAACCTTAAAGATATAAAGACAAATTGACTAACCACTGCTCCCTTCTCGCCATGCACCATATTAAAAGGACAATGATATTTAAAGCCATAGTATGCGCCATGGAAAATGTTCCGAAGTATGGTTTTAACTTTGCATTTCTATGGAATCATGCAGGAAAGAAAGTTAGATACCTTTTAATGTGTAATGCTTAAAAGAGAGAGCGGAGGGAAAGACAAGAAAAGAAAATTGTAGGGGAGAAAGAGCGGGAAGTGAAGGGAAAAGAGGAAATGAATGAAGGAGATGTAACCTGAAAACAGCAGGTGTCCCCCTCCAAAGGATATCAATGGCTGCTTCACATACTGTCGTTATGCAACCTGCCACAGAGACAGACAGAGAGAAATGCTTGGGCAACTAATCAAATGAAAGGCAATTTGTTATTTTTACGCTAGCATTCTCCTCTGCCCACCCTCCTGTGTCTAACTCCCCTTGCTATTATGTCTCCTTCCCTCCTCCTATGTTTCTCCATCCTTTCTTTCTTTTCTTTTTTCCTTCTGTGTCTCCCTCTCTCATTCGTTCCTCCTGTGTGCCTCTCCTTCCTTCCTTCCTTCCTTCCTATCATCCCTCTTCCATCTCCTCTCCTTCCTATCTCCTATCTCTCCTTCCTTCCTGGTCTCCTTCTCTCTTTTCTTTCACCTGTATTTCCCCTTCTTGTTTCTACCTCTCTTTCTCTCCTTTCTTCCCCCAGTATGTCCTTCTCTACTTCCCTTCTATGTCCCTTTTCTACTTCCTGGATCCTATCTCCTTTTACTCCTCCTGTGTCTCATTTTCTGCTTCTTGTATCTTCATCTCGCCTATCCTCCCAAGCATCCTTCTTTCCCCCTTAATTCTTTGTCTTCTTTCATTCACCTGTATCGCCCACCTTACCTCTATCACTTCTATCTTTTTTTTTTATCTCCTAGTCTCCTTTCTTCCTCTGTCTCTTTTTTTAATTTCTTCCTCCTATGTCTCTTTCTCTGCTTCCTATTTCCTATCTCTCCTCCTTTGTATATCTCCTTCTCTCCTTTCGTTTTCTTGTATCTAACTCATCTTTCTATCTTTCTTTCCTTCCTTTCTTCCTTCCTCATGTCTCCGCCGGTCATTCCTGTTTATGACATTTTCTCCTATGTCTCATCATTCCCTCCTCTTGTCTCCTTCCTTCTGTCTCCTTCCCTCTTTTGTCTCCTCCTCTCTTTTCTTCTTCCTCTATTTCTATTTTCCTCCCAAGCATCCTTCTTTCCCTCCTGTCTCCTTCGTCTCCTCTTCTCCTTCCTTCTTCCTCTATTTCCCCTTTCCTCCTAAGCATACTTCTTTCTCTCCTGCCTCCTTTGTCTCCAACTACCCTTCCTTTTTCCTCCATCTCTCTCCCCCCCAAGCATCCTTCTTTTTCTCTTGCCTCCTTTGTCTCCTCCTCTCCTTCCTTCTTCCTCTGTTTCCCTTTCCTCCCAAGCATCATTCTTTCTCTCCTACCTCCTTTGTCTCCTTCTCTTCTTCCTTCCCATATCTGCTCCTCTCTTTCCTTCCACATTTGGTGTTCTCCTGCCTTTGCCTGTGGTGGAGCTGGGAATCGTGGAATAGCCCAATATTAGCAGACCTTGCCAATTTTATTTTATTTTTTTTTCAATTGTTGTGATTGATTGTAATCTTTGCAAATATTTAAAAAATTTAAAAATGTAATCAGATCCAATTTTAAAAACTCACTGGAAAACATAGCATTTGAAAAATCTATTAATTCTAAGTTGTAATATTTTTCCTTTTCTTTAGAGTTTCTATGAGAGCTGCCCTATGTCACTTTTTCGTAGGGGGTCCGTCACCTGCTTGTTTCTATGGATATGTAACTGCTCTGCCTGGAATGTTCCACAGTATGACATTATACACCTCTAAATCACATTTATTAAATTACTGGTGGTTTTATAGTAAAAAAAAAAAAAACAAAAAAAACAAGAAAAACAAGTATTCTGACTGTGAGTGAGCTTGTCTCACCACAGATCTCACCTGTTATTTGGTCTGGTTTGAGCTCCATGAAGTTAGAAAGGTTTGATGAATAAGCATTCCAGACAAAGCAATAGCATCTCCATGAAGAAAAGCATTTGATGGACCCTCCACATGAAAAGTTGCATAGTGCACCTTTAAGTATTTTCTCCTTAACTAGATGATAACATGGTCAACCTCAGTTTTCAATATTTGATAGAATTACTATTAGGGATGTAACAATAACTGATCATGATATCATATTGTCAATGTTCTCACAATAATATCGTGGACCATCACAATGTATCGAATTACAAGTCTCTTTGCTTAAATTAAGAGTTATGGTGCAGCAATAGCCAAAAAGAGACAGATTGAACTACATAGACCATGATCCTTTGCTCGACTTCAGTTTAGACTACATGAAGAAATAACAGTTCTAAGCACTTTTAAGTCTTAGTTCTTTGGATTAAGTCTTGTCAAGGCATTTTAAGCAGAAAAAGTTGCATAGTTTTGTTAGCCTCCACAAAATATTGCAATTAATATTGTACCGTGAGATGTATATTGAGATTTGGATATTGTTACATCTCTATTCGTGAGCCTCCCCACCATATCATGAGCTTTCCCAAGATATCGCAATAAATATCGTACTATGAGATTCATACTGTGGCGATATCGTACCGTGAGACTTGGATATCCTTACACCCCTAATTACTATACATATACATACTATACACATACACCTACTATATATACTATACATAAGTATAAACAAATCTTACCTCTATGAAGATTAATTTGAAATGTTGTGTTAAAATTATATTTTTCTCTTTCACACACTACTCGCTACGCTACTCTATGAATGAATAATTGGTGTGAAACTTGTTATCATTTAATATTCCTACTTTTGGAAATTATAAATATACGCAACTGCTGACATGCACTGTGTTATTCTTATATCTTTTCTATTTGGCCATGTTAACTTTGTTGTGGCTTTGTCTTCCTACACTAGTCTTCCCTATAAACTCACACTGCTTATGGCCTTATAAATGTGAGGATATCTGAACCAAGACCAACAATTCGAACCCACCATCTCAACTCTGCATTTGTCTGCTCCTTTAGACGTACTTAAAATTGATCCAACGCAAGTTTCCTATTAGTTTTTCTATTACTCTCAGCAGCAGTACAAGTGAATGAGCATTGTCTGTGTGCTGCGTCTTGCTGTTGGATGCTCCCATTCACAGTGAGGGCCATAACTCCTGGTGTGTGATGGGAAGTCGATAGGGAGCCATAAGACTGTGAATACCAGTGAGTCAATAATATGGCTGTGCTCTGTTCTGTTCGTTCAGCAGTCTTTTGGCTGAAACATGAGTGTGCCTGCTTCATGTATGTTACAGTAGGACACAGAGCAGAACCTATTGCGCCTTAGATAACATCACAGGAGTCATTCACTCTGACAGAAGTGCAAGTGGTGCAGGTGAGCAGGTGTGATTAGACTCTAGGAGAGATTCACAGGTACAAGTGGAGGTGTTTTATATTTAGTTTGGTTTAGACAGAATATATATTTTATTAAACTACTAAGTCTAACCTTTTTGGAGGTCACTGGTTCAAAATACAAATTTTATTTAATGAAAAATATTGGAACAGAGCCTTGACCTAGGTTTAAGAATACACCATTAAGCATAACATATTTCAGTACTTAAAAAAAAAAGTTGAAGTTCATTCTGATTAAAAACATGAAAAGCATTAGTAGTAGTTTACAAAGAATTGTCCAAAAATAAATACCTCGACCTGATGATAAATTACTGAGTGATAAAGAAATTTCAGCTTTGCTTTACCAAGTGCACTCACTGTCAGCTCAGTCCTTGTGATCTTGGCCTACGTCATCAGAGATATAATACTCCCTACAGCATAAGCATAGCCAGACTGGACTGGACTACACTTGAAATGCACAAGGCAGTATCTTGAGGGGTTCATATTTCCAGGTGCTGAGCCAGTACTGATGGTCAATAATCGTCTCATGCATTAGAACTCCAGTGTCATGCCTCTTATTTCAACTTTCAAGCTACTACATCCAACCACATCATAATGACATATGAGCAATCCGCATTTTGCCTGATTCCCACATAGAATCCTATGACTCTTAACTCAGAAGTATAATCTTTCTGTCTCTCCTGTAGGGCACCATTTGGAGTGGGTTCCTCTCGGAGCTGTTTGTCCAGCCCAGTTGGGGGCAGCAGCAGCAGTAAAGTCTCTGACCCTTCGTCCCCTGGTCCCTCTTCGTCTCGACCGTCCACACCTCTCATAAACTCCGTAAACCACACCAGTCCTGCCTCATCGCCTCAAAGTGCAGCCGCACAGCTTAAGAATTGCCTCCGGTCCGGTCAGCACACGGTTAACCAACGCACCTCCATGCAGCTGGGTAAGCAGAAATCTATACCCTCACAGTAGTACAGGACTGATACAAAGGATTTGATATCTAAGCATTTTTACAGCTATTTATAGATGCACATTCAAGTGGCATTAAACATTAACAATGTAATGGTGTAATCGTTTGTGGTCTAAATGTAGACAGATATACTGGTGTTGTAGCTTTTTAAAACAAAACACATAATATAAGAAAAACTAGGCTGCTACCTTTGTGATAGTACAGACCACTTCCTAGGCGTTTATTTGAAAGACATACAAACAATATGAATTGAAAGAAAAGATATTTTTTCAGGAGACTTTCTGTCATCATCTTTCTTAATTTGAATAATGAAAGAGCAATACTGTTGAATATTAAAGACAATGCAATAACATCTCCATGGTGAAAATGGCTGACTCACCACCATAAAAGTTACACAGTGTCCCTTTAAATAGTACTCTGTTTTAGAATCAGTGCTCACTAGAAAGACATGTGACTATAAGCATCTACAATCAGAATGCATTATAGTGAATAGTGAACTTGCGGTGATACCTGTATGAATGACAAGCAGCTGTCAGGAGACACTGCATCACAAATAGATCTATCCGAGGGGACAGATGATTGTTTATATGTGTCTCTGGGGAATGATAAAAAGTAAAACACAAAAAAAAAAAAATTATGATAAGTTCACGCCAGGTGAGGTGTCTGTCACTTTTCCAACACAGCATGAATCTAAATACAATACCTAAAATGTATTTACTGTGTAACCCTGTGCTGTATATCTGTCTATCTATCTATCCGTTAGATATACTATAGCAAAAGAAAAATTCAATTCTGTCAACTGGACAAAAGTTTTAGATTGAAGATGTTTCGCTGCTCATCCAAGCGGCTTCTTCAGTTCTGGTCAGATTGCTGGTGGAAGCTGACCACTGTTTTTATTATAACTATGTCACGATGCTTAAAATGAGCCGAAATGGAACAAACTAAATGTTATAATCTTCCAAATAAGGGTATAAATTTATTGTGAGTACGATTTATATAATTCATAAACAGGAAACATTACAAAGACTTTATTGATGATGACACATTTGGGATTACAGATCCAACAGGCGTAAAACATCATTTTAATTGTAAACTGTATGTTGTCACTTGTCTTTATTCAATTCTGTGTAGAAAACGGCTTATAGCTGGATAGATGTACAAGTTCAAATGAAGCAACATCAGTTACGGTCACAACATTTGAACACTGTTTATGTTGTAGTACAGCTTGTCCCTGATCATCTCTCTCTTTCTCTCCCTCTCTCTCTCTCTCTCTCCCTCTCTGCCACTATCTCACTGTCTCTCTCACTCTCTCTCCCCCTACACACACACACACACACATACACACACACAAACACACTTCTCTGTTTTCTGCAAGACTGAGATCATATCAACCTTGTTCTCCACTCAGGGCCTATTCATCTCCACAGAACCCATTTCTCTGCTTTTTTCTTTGCAGTTTTGTTGGAGAAAAACATTGAAGTTTTTTCTCAAGACTAGAGAAGTACTGCCAAGGAAAACACAGGCACTCTAGTACAGGCAGCATTTGTAGTTTAAGTTACGATTTAGTCCAGTTTACTCTTGTATTTGTTTTTGTGTTTTTGTGTTTTGTTAATGTTTTAGTCATTCTTGTTTAGTCCTTTGCATAATTGTTAGATTTTGTGTGGATGGAAACTAGCATTTGCTCTTTGCATATTTACAGTTGCACAGGTGTTCATTGATATACATTGTTTAAAAAATAATAATAAGTTTTGTTTTAGTTCTAAATTTGTCTTACTTTAGGCCAGTTGAAAGTCCTGAATATAGGGCATTATTACATTTATGTAGACCACTGCTAGTTATGGATTCTCCTCGTTTAATAATGGTATAGACACAGTTAAGACCTGGCTCAGTCCTGGTTTAGTCCTAGACTGTCTTGTTTTACATCTAGTTTAATCTTGGTGTAGTTCTGTTTTAGTGCTGGTTATTCTTCGTGAGTTTGGTCCTAGTTTAGACTTATAGTCCTGATTTAGTTCTGGTATGGTCTTAGATTTTTCCGTGGTTTGGAGCTGGTTTAGCCCTGGGGTAGACCTAGTTCTAACCAGCATAGTCCTAGATATTGCTATTTTTGAACTTATTTAGACTTAGTTTAGTCCAGGTTTATTGCTGGATTTGTCTGTGCAGATTTAGACTTACTCCTTGTAACAGTTTTAGTGTTAATGCTAATATAAATCCATTTTAAATCACACTTTTAATCCAAATGGTGTATTTTCCGTGGTGTTACATGGTGTGAAAAGCTTGAGACTCACAGCTCTAGTACAAATGTGCATTACCACAGACCCACATAGACACACTTAGACACACATAGACACACAACACACTCAGCTGAATGACATCACTGCCATTTTGTTTTATGGAGGCGTAATGACAGAGCACCACCGACCTCTTTCCCTTTCTCTCTTTTCTCACACAAATACACACACGCATACACACACACACATATGCATCTGGATCCCATTACAAAATCAAGTATGCGCATAGTTTTGGCATTTGGTTGTTGTCACATGACCACAAGTATCTCCATGGGATTTCTCTGGACTAGAGTGAAGCAGGTGGCTGTAATGTTGTGTATATAGAGAGAGTGCCTATGTGGGAGTATGTTTTTATCCTCTCTTGTACTGCTTGTACAGTGGGGATTAAAAGACTCAGACAAGTATGCCAAGCGCAGGACAGTAAGTTTAGGTTTCTTCAGAGGTTAGTTTAGACTTGTGTGGTTACTGTTTGTTGGTGTTTATAATAAAAAAGGATTAGGTGCCAGTGGGAATGAGAGAACATGATACTTCTGCTATTTCACACTGTGTTAGTGTGTTGAGAGCTTGAGCTTGGAGTCAAAATGTCACACTAAGATGCTGACATAACTGCATTATTTGCCGTAAGACTGAAACTTTTAAACGTCAGTCATTTCTGCCTTCAGTTTAGGAGAGGAGGTGGTTGACTTATTTATGGAATTTTGTTAGTTTCTTTTAGTATATATTACCACAATTCATTTCAGACTTATAGACTGAATGTCGTAGTCTTTCAAGGTGCACTATGTAACTTTCTCAGTAAGGGGTTTGTCTACATGATGATATTATTGCTCTGGCTGGAATCTTCCACAGTATGGCTTTAGACATATGAAGCTGACATTTATGCAACTGGCTTATCACTTTTGAAAAACTTGCATTTTCACTGTGAGTGAACTAATTTCTCCAGAGATCTAAGATCTAACTAGGCCTAGTGGTGTCACTTGTCTGTCTCTATCGAGATATGCACGTTTATAGCCACTCTGGAACAATCCATGGAAACAAGATGGAAAAAGTAGATAGGTTACATAGTGCTCATTTAAATATCACAAAACATCTTGCCACATTTTTTTTTTTTTTAAGGTTTGTATCGTCTTGAGATGGACCTCCATAACTATTGCAACTGTCTTAGTTATTACCAGTAACTTTTGAAATTCTCTTTCTTTTCAAATAAAAGTGTAGGCAACTTTAATGTTTTAAAGTTAAAAGCATACCATTTTATGCTTAAAGAGTTTAATTTAAAATCTAATCATTTCAAGTGATGTCTGGACAAGATGACATTTTGTACTACATAATGTGAGCTCAGAGTGTCTTTAGATTCATGGCCATCTGCTGACTTCTCATTCTCTATCATTCACTGTTTTAACAGAGTATTCATTTGGTACACCTCAGATACAAGCTTCCTTGTAATTTTTTTCTCAGATATACAGTACATCCAATGTTGGATCTGCTGTTATAGTTGAATCAATAATATGACTTCAAATCACTTTTGTTATTAGGCTTAAAAATTGTGTATAATGGGTTATTTTGACTTAGAAATGTATACATTGCTGTAATATCAAATGCTTCCAATTCGGGCTTGAGTTTGGGATACAATGGTTAGTGCATAAAATGGCAAGTGCAAAGGGGGTCACAGAGCCTAAAGTTCATTGACTGGAAATCACTCTACCACTAGTCTATGGATAACATTTGATCTTATTTGATTTTAGTGTATTTTTATTCACTTTAAGCAGCAGTACCTGATTTTCAAACTGCAAAGCTAAGATGTAGGTATTTAAATTTATCTTATAGCTCTCACAAACCTTTGGCACACAGATAATATTCAAATGCATGATGTACAGCTTTACAACTGCTTTTTATATGGTTAAGTGAAACGGGTGAAGTGTCAATATGCAATAAATGCTAGCACTTATAGCTCTTACTTCTGGGTTTGCAGTTGATAAAATATGTTACTATGTGATGCAGACAGCTGCTTTTTTATAATGTACTTGATGACGGGAAAACATATAATTTACTCATTTACAAAAAACTCTGATACCTCAGCTTTAATGCGTGTAAGGAAAATGCTTAAAGCTGGACTACACACCTAAACTCTACACCCACAACTACATTTCAGCTAGAGCTGCTAAACTGCGCAGTCACTGTGGACTATTCACCTTATTCAGCCCCATCCACTTTTGTCTCTAAAGGCTCCTAAACCGTGCTTTCTCCTGGTGGCAATTCTGGTTAAATGGGAATCCCATTAATTTCAATGGAGAAATTGGGAAAAGTTTTTACGATTAAATATGACATAAAGTAGCTTCATTCATGTAAAATGTTCATGTGCACCAACAAGACAACACTACGCCAATTCACTGGGGGGCTTTAAAACGGCTTTATAGTCTGTATTGAACTTAGTTGCTGTCAAGATCAGCAGCCCCATACAAAATAGGACAACCCGAATGATGGTGACTGCGCATACTGCAACTTCCGGAATAAGGTGAATAGAGAAGCAAAAAGAGAAGAGGAGGGGCTGGGTGTAGAGGTAAAAGCAACAGTCTGATTGGCCTAACAGGTATCCACACTTCAAACTCCACCCCTACAGTGAGGTGTTTGTAATCAGAAATCAGAAACACCTGAAATTGCAGAGGCCACTGCAGGCAGCACAAACTTCGATTTAGCTGTTTTTGTAGTAACTTTTAGTTTGCACTGAAATTGGCAAAGAATGGCTAGAATAGTGGATAATACTATTGCAATATCATATACACAGTTTAGTAGCAAAAAAAAGTGTATTTAGTGCTTAGCTCCAACCTAAAGAAAACCCAGCCTGTAAACAGGAAACACTTATGTAGCATGTCTATTTTACCTGTGCTTCCTGACCTGTTATATTATGTGTGTTTCAGTCCACAGTCCTCCAGCAGGCAGCCCAGAGCGTCCCTCTGTAGCCGTCTCCCCCCTGCGCCCTCAGAGCTGCTCCCCCTCCCGTCAGTCCGGTCGCCCCCTCTCCATGGTGTCCCCTGGTCCTAGTCTGGGACCCTCTCCGCTCTCCTCCCCCGCTTCCAGACCTCTGCTCACCCTTTCCTCTCCTCTCTCCTGCCTCACCCCTCCAAACGTGTCAGCCGCTCTCCTCCACAGTGAACCCGGCAGTCCGGTACAGCCGCCGTCACCGGGACCCTCCCATGTGACTATACAAGGAGGACTCGCACCCAAGGTAGAGAAGGTATGTCTTAATTAGGCGTTATAGGTGCACTGTATAACTTTTCTTGTGTGGTTCTATTACCAGCTTGTCTTCATGGAGGTGTTACTGCTTAGACTACACCGCTTTGGCATTGTGCTCAAAAATACCTTGACAACATGCATTCTTATTGTGAGCGTGGTATCCTCTCCATAGCTCTGACCTGTAAGTTGGCTGGATAGCACTACTTGTCATCACTATGAAGATAGACAAGTTTAATGCCATACTGTGAAATATTAAAGGCTGAGCAATATCATCTCAAAGGAGAAAAAGAGGTGGCAGATCCTCCACCTGAAAAGTGTGTTTTTTGTTGACCTGATAGAGAGAGTCTGTGTTATTCTAATGCCTATTGTTATCCAGTTGCACACCTCTTTTAAAGCCGCCATAGATGGCCACATATATTGTATTAAAGTATAAAGACCTTACATCAATGAAAGAGCGTTCTTAAAAGGTACCAGCGATCCTTGCTTTAGTGGGAAAATGCTCTTCCAACTGTGTTACTGCCACCCTTTAATAACACTGACAATAAGTAGCACTAGAGCTTCATCTGGCTATTTTGGTGAAATGTCTACTATCTATAAAAGTAAGGCCTGGATTCTATTACAGGCACAGACAAATACTCAGACTCTCTCCTACAGCTATCATTGCCCATTTATGCACAGAGACGGTCGGAATTCGAGGGGATGGTGTGCAGCTAATTGGATCAACTAATTAATCCCAATGCTTGCGCTGATTCCAGTGTAGATACATGAAAATCCTTATTTAACTACCAAAATATTTGACCTTTTCTGCTGCAGTGCATACCCACGAGAACAATACATGGCATAGCAGACTATAATCAAATTCTGTCTGTGTCAGAACCAGTCTAATTGCCTCTAGCACCACGGCAGGTGAAAGCTAGGTGTGTTGACGCCTTGCTAGGACAGATTCCTCCCCTTCTCCTTATGACAGGGTTTGGTATGACGTATTTTTCTATCTTGGTGGAGCTCTGAGCTAAAGATGGTAAATCAGGAAGCACTGACACTAAAGGATGGCATCTGTCTCTGCTCCATTTGTTGCTGTGTTGGCTGCAGTGTGTGGGACAGCTAATCTAAGTACATGGCCAACTGACAAACAGCTCATTGACTATGGAGCAGCAGTCCTGTTTACCATGGCCCACTCAAACAATCATACGAGTTCTGCTTATTAGAAACACTTAAAATTGTACATTGTTTGTCATATGTTGTTTACAGTAATTAGGCTGTTTATGTTTATGTTTATATAATGTCTTGTTATTTAGCTAGATTAATGTAACCTAAACCTATTTTAATATTTTTGTGTGTACTTGATTTGTTGCTAGTATCTTTCAGGAAATGTTTTCATAAACAGCAATATCTAACCTCAAAATGTATAACTCTCTGATCCTATGTCACAGTTCTAGAGTTAGGGTTAGTGAGACACCATTCTCAGATGTGTATTCAAAAAGTGATCACTTATTCTTTAGTTTTTAGTATTTTCTTCACATAAAAACTGAACTAGTAATTTTTTTAAATAAATTGCAGCAAACTTATTCCTCACTTTCCTAACACATCCCTAGCTTCCTAATTATTGACCATATCAAGTTTATAAGCACTTTTCACAACTTTATGAGATTAGAGCAGAGTTCTGCCGTCATGCAACAACAGCGTGTCATTAATTCTGATTCGCGAACCGCTCTGTACCGGGGCAAAACTAAACAAAACAAAATGACTCAAACAGCAGGCAGATCAACAAGCAACCCAAAAATTTAAACTGTGATAAACCCATTAGTGAAGCTATAATCCATTTTTGTCTAAATGTGAAATATTTATGTCACTCAGATGCCTCGCAGTCTAGATCCATGTTACAAAGTATGACGATGATAAAACTGCTCAGATAACGGTCTAGCTTTTACATAGTTGGAATAATCTCCACTGAATTCTCGGTCACACTGTCTGTACATCCAGCATTACAGACACATACCACAACGGACATGTTTGCAGATCATCTCCAAGATGTCTTCATATAACAAGGGGCAACTTCCAAATGAAATGACTATCAAATGTGGACTGCATACAAGACATGAAAATTCAAATATGCTGGAATGATAGCACTCAAAGCAATGTAGATATGTATAGTTAGTAGTTCGTTAGCATGCTGTATTGAGATGGAGTAGTAAAGAAAGTAGCTAATTCAAGTTAAATGTATGCATATAGCACATTTAAAACATCTTCAGTTGACCAAAATACAACATGGTCAGTCTTGTTTTTTTTAACTTGGACATTCTATAAATGATTTAATTTTTTAAAGGATGTATAGCTTTCATTAATCTGTATTTCTGGCTGAATTTATGGTACATGAGCTGTACAGTTTTGTAGAAATACATCCAACCAAATAGAGCAAAATGCTACTACTACTAATACTGTATAGCTTTTATTATCAATTCATTATGCAAATCACTATTTGCTTATATATTCAAACCTGTTTGATAATCGTGATTGATTCAGAAGTGAATAAATAAGTATTAAAACTTCAAATAATCTGAATAAAACTATAAATATATCGAGTGCACCTGTGACTCACCAAGGTCCCTCAACCAAGTGATGAATCAGTCAGTAATATACAATTCACAATTTTAGTATTAAAATTTTACACTATGCAGTAACATACATCAAAACATGTAGCTTTTCCCACTGGTTCAGTATTGTAAAATTTCTAATAAACTATTGTTTCCAGGTGCACTTGTATTTATTTAGTCTCATGTGAATAGCATACTGCCACTATATCTTTATCTATGTATTCCTTAATGCACACTGCCCTCTGGTGGCAATCTTGGTCACAACTTTCAGCCTATCAAAGCACATCACCGGGGAGGTGTAAGCCTACTCTAAGCCTGTAGATGAAAAGAGAGGTGGCTTTTCTGTGACATTTTCCACCCCAACTGTACTTTCTTCATTTAAGTGCTCATCATTTTGTTCAGCTTTGATTCATGCACATTATCATATATTTCTACCCTTTTATCCTCACCAAAGTCTTTCGAAACCTTGAAAGATATATATCAAAATCCTTTTTGTCAGTAGCAAAAATGAATATCTTTTAGCTCTTATTCTGGTCTGTACGTTTTGTGTGTGTGCGTGTGTGTGTGTGTGTGTGTGTGTGTGTGTGTGTGTGTGTGTGTGTGTGTGTGTGTGTGTGTGTGTGTGTGTGTGTGTGTGCGTGCGTGCGTGCGTGCGTGCGTGCGTGCGTGTGTGCGTGTGTGTGTGTGTGTGTGTCCCTGTATGCAGTGGTTTTATAGTCTCCCCTGCTTTGCACAGCACTTTTCTCAGCCCACCTCTCCCTCTATCAGACCAGTCAATAAACTATGAATCCTTAATGTTTCTCTTTTTAACTTGACCTTCATCGAATCTTTAAGAAGCACTGCAGTATTTCTGTGTTGTAAGAAAACTGTGGATCAGAGCTCAGATGATAAAAGATATAAATATAAAGATTCATATTGAATGAACAGAGCTACTGACCAAAGCATAGATTGAAAGGTTAATAAAAAAAAAAAACAGTTGCTCCCTTGGTTGCAGTAGATGTTAGTTTTTTTAGAAGGCCAGTACAAGTTACAGTATGTACCAAAAAGACAATGATGACAGGTTGAGAAATTGCCTTGCCCAATGGTATATCTAAAAAGAGTCAAACCATCACTCTAATGCCATTTTAAAGGCAAGGCTTGTCCTTTTCCTGGTAAAAAACAAAAGAATCATAATCATAACGTACATACCTCATGTGAAAACTTAGAACCTCCAGAAACCACTCACTGAGCTGCAGAGCCTGCACTGGCACCTTGATTTGAACAGGTCTACTTTGTATTTGGGGACAAAATTTTTATGAAATTTAAGATGCGCATCTTACACTCCCTATCTTTAAATATTGTGTGAATATGTATTCTGTTTAGAATCTCAAAGTCTTTTTATAACCTGCTACATTATTCAATCAATCATTCGGTTGTGGTTAGACACTGACATTCTGTGCCTACAGCTCCTCGTACTACTCACACAGTCACACAAATGCACAGGCAAGATGTAAATACAGTGTTTGCTCAAACTATGACACCACATCACATAACAAGATCCACCCTGTGTGCCTCTGCGATTACCATAATGTTTGATGTAAGATTCAGAGCAGAACTGAGGCTGTTTACTAAGCCTGATATAGTTGTAACATTGATTTGCTGGAGGGCAGCAGTTTCAAATTAGCATCCTCCTCAGTAGTAAAAAAGTGCAGAGTTTATCCAGAATCCATGTCAATGTTACTGGAGTCATGTACCAGCTGGTGCAGAGCTGCTAGGCCCTGTTACAGGCAGCAGCTGGCAACAGAGAAGGTCAGGGATAAGAGGAGATACTAAGGACAAAGTGTGATGTTTACTTATTAACAGCACATACATTATAAAGGGTTCTGTCTTGGTCTGAGGTTTTTCCCATTTTGATTTGATAGTAGCATAAGTTATAAGGTATGGTTTATAAGTTAAGAAAAACACTTTTTTGGTATAAATTTGTACTGCACAATTTCTGACACAAAAGGAGACCATCAGAACAAAAAGGGGCACTATGTTTGTTTTAAGGTCGAGCTTAGCTCCATGGAGACAAGTAAATGACATCACCAAACCAAACATTTTTTTGGTTATTAAGACACCTGTCTAGAGCATACAATACTGTGGAAAAGCAATAACATTTTCATGAGACAAATATGTAACTAATACTCCACCATTATTTAAGCCATTATTTACATAATTATGTAGAAGAATATAACATTACAATAAATTTACATTACAATTCTCATGGATGCCTAATATAGTATTTTCCATAGCTATAATTGCTTCCTATAGTGAGAAAAAACACTTAATTATAATAGTCTTCCTTAGATTTTAAATTGTTTTTGAGCCTCCTGCAGTGGTGATGACAACTTTATCTATGAAGCAGTAGATCCAAACCTTCAGGCGTCAATAAAAAGTGAGATGAGTATTGATCGGAGGCAGTGTTCGGCCCAAGAGCGTGACAAGAAACAAAACACGTTTATTATGTTGTAACAGATTAAAGTACCACCATGGGACATTGCAATTAATGAAGCATGAAGACAAAATCTTACATTGTCTTTTCTAAAATATTGGGTTGATATTTCTAGAGCTTTCTGTAAAAGAAAGCTGCACAAGTCACTATGAATCACAGTTAAAATCATAGTCAATCATATTTAGAACAATATCAACATTACGGCACTCTTGTGTCATCTCAGTTGGTGGAACTCCTAGAAGTGAAAAGTTTGAAGCAAATAATTGATAATAATTTGTAGTTGCTAACAAATCAATAATTTCAAGGTTTCATGTGTTATTTATACATTTTTCACATACAAGGGTAAATAATGGCTGATAAATATATGTGTAATCAACTCAGTAACATTTTCCTGTCTGTCCACAGAAAGAGAGAAAAGCTGGTGGTTTGCTAAAACTCTTGTCCGGAGCAGCAGCTAAGAAGAAACCTCGCTCCCCTCCCTCGTCGCCACCGACCCATGTCCCCTCGCTGGGCGCCGTGGCAACAGACCCATCCCACCCACACCCTCACCACTACCACCCACGCTCAGGCTCCTGTCCCATGGCCTCACAGGTGAGAATGTCAGAATTCATCAAATATATTATTCATTGTGAGTACAGCTATCACAATACACTTTTACAAGTAACTGTGTCTCACATGGATGTAAAGGAGGAAAATGCTTTTTGTTTGTTTTCCATTGATTTCTGGGGGTAAAGGACATGGAAATTGTTTTGAGAGGCTTTGTTACATATTTAAGATAAATGGTTGTAAAATGTGCTTTACATTAATGGCTTTAGTTTAATCCTAGTCCATCACACAAGTCCAAAAGTACTCCAGTAATTTCAGATTTTCAAATTAAGTTCTGGAAGTAATTTTACTGAAGTCACTAATTATATAATGCAAGCATGTTCTTATAATTAAAGGTGCACTATGTAACATTTCTGATGGTGAGTCCATTACCTGCTATTACTGCCCCTGGAATATTTCACAGTTTAGCATTTAACATATCTATCTTGCATTTATTCAATTGCAGGGTTTGTTTGGTTTTTTTTTTTCAACAAAAATTTCCTTACAAACATGCATTATTACTATCATTGGGCTTGCCTCTCCACAGATCTGTCCTGTAGCTTGTCCTGGTGGTGCTGCATGTTTGTCACCATAGATGTAGAATTATTGTCCTACTGAGGAATATTTCAGGGAAAGCAATGACACCTCCATAGAGACAAGCAGTTCATTCACTGAAAATTTGCACAGTGCACCCTCAAGGAATGATTGATTCAATTATATTTAAAATAGACAATTATGAAATGACAAATTTCTTTTCACAATGATCCTCACCCTGCTATGTACCGGCAGGGCAGGGCCGGCTCTTGTCCTATTGAAACTGACATCGGGGCCATTGGTCTGGAGCCACTGCACAGGAAGTCTGGGTCCTTGGATACGAATTTCCCCATGTCGCCCCCAGCAGCGCGCACCGGCAACGCTCTAATGGTGCTGCGGCCAGAGCCCAAACCCCTGTCCAGAGAGAGGTGGGTGCAGTATTGTTGCTATAGTGACTAACAATTTAAAGCAAAATATTTTATCATTTTAATGAAGAAAAGTCATCAAAATAAAACAAGAAGTTAGAAACCATGAGTGTCTTTATATCTACATAATTACACATCATTTTGGGCATGATTACATTAGTCTTATAGAAATTGTGGTTACCTCATTAGTTATCTAAGTGCCCTTTTTGAACACAGTGAACTACATGCTTTGTGTGCAATAAAAAGTATGCTTTAAATTTATTGTAAAGTTTTAACTGCCAAAATATACTTTTATCTTTACACAGACATGTCATTGGTTAAAAAGAGTTCCACAGGGCTCCATGTTGGGCCCATTTGAATTTGCTAAAAGACTTTTTGTTTTGATTGTCTTTTGGCAGGTATCGTGTGGTGGTCCCATATCCTCCCCAGAGTGAGGCGGAGATCGAGCTGCGGGAGGGCGACGTGGTTTTTGTGCATAAGAAACGTGAGGATGGTTGGTACAAAGGCACTCTGCAGAGGAATGGGCAGACAGGCCTGTTCCCTGGCAGCTTTGTGGAGAGTTTCTGAAGTGAACAGTGCGGACAATGACTCACTCAGAGGACAACAATTAGACCAGTGCTCATGCGGGATCAGGGCTGGTTTCTGGAAATGCAGTTTGGAATGGTAGTGAGAAAAGTGCAAAATGCTGGACTTTACAGAGATGTTAATTCTGACTCACCCTTCCAAGGTTACTGTTGCCAAGTTAGACAAAATAAAGCAGGTTTCTATTGAGACACATTGAAATAATGTCTAATATAATAATAATTTTGCACACCACTGGGTTTGTGTACAAGGCTATAAAAGACCAAAAAATAAATGTATGTAGTTAGGTATGCCTTATCTTTTTAACGTCCTTGATCTAAAACCAAGGATTTGTCCCTTAGGGTCACATAGTGTCCTAAACTGAAATGGTCAAACATATTTTTTTTTTTTATAAATCTTGGATGTACTACACTCTGACATGGCTTATACAAGTATGTGAGTGTTAAGTGACATTGTCATCTATCTGACATTGGCTATTTCTGGGTCCAGTGAAATTTCAGCCTCATTTGCTATAATGGCAAAAACAGCACCAAATTAACCAGTTTCAATCTAGCCCTAAAAATAAAAATGCTAAATCGACACACTATTGTATAATACGACCACCTACTGATATAATTTATCATGAAACAGTTACTCATCAGGAGGCCTCTGTTTGTGCTGTTTGTGTCTGAGGACCAAAACAAGCTGTGATGATGTCACACTTAACAATCCAATATCACTATTGATTTTATCTTTGCTAAAAAAAATCAACAAATGTTTACAAATAATAAACCTTGATTTTTACAGAACTTGCTTGAGTGCATAGCTACATTCATACTGACAGAATGGGAAGCAGTTTTTAGAAACCAGTTCTGATCCCACTGATCAGTGCTGGCCCTGTCTTGAATCGACCCTCCTACACTCTGAGCATGGCAGCTTTGGGGTCATTTAACTGCAGATGGTGCTGGGTTCAAAGGTCAAAGTTCAGAGGGCATTTATTAGACTGTGTGTGAGACTACTGAGAAGCACAGAGAGAGACGTGGGCTGCCTATTAACTCTCCTCTATAAGACATCTATCCACCAGCAAAACCTAGCACAAAAACTTCGGACTGAGACCTCATAACTTGAATATGGGTGCTTTATTGTTGATATGAAAAAATGAAAGGAATTTTGACTCATTGTAAGCACATCGCCATGTTAAGTTTACAATTTTTAAATAAGTAATAATAGTGCATGTAGCATTATGTTTTATATGTCGATTTGGCTAAATGTTTTTGAGTAATTTATGTTTTGTTTTGTTTTTTAATGATTTTCTTTATTTAAATATGACCATTTCACAAACAAGCCTACCTAATGTCCCAAGACAGTGAAAGTTGCGCCAAACATTTTATACGAAAAGGCACTTTGAAAAAAATTGCCAATTTTTTGCTGTACGTCTAGTTTCAAAGTATTTGTGTTATTTGTCTAAGATTTGGTACTGTATTTGTAAGATTTCATGACTTTTAGAAGATATTGGCACAACATGTATCGCTCATCTCCAGCTATTTCTGTACATGTTGAAGGCTTGTCTAGTTTACCACCAAATTCATCAGTACTGTCTGCTGTTGTGGATACTTCCCAGTCAGAAATATATTATCAGTCAAAATAACTTTCTGTCCTCACACATAGAGAACTAATTTAAAAATACAGCCTTAATAACACATGGGACAAAAGTTGGTAAGAATAACGAGATAGCTATCAATGTTCAAGATGCTGACAAAAAAAAACACACATTTTCAGAATAAAAGCACAGGAATATAAGAAAAATAAGCATTAGTTTAGCACAAACGTCAAAGATTTTTAGAATAATATACACTAATCAGGCATAACTTTATGGCCACTTAACCGCCTATTACTTACAGATCAGGATCAGTTGCAATCCAAGTGCAAACAAAACATTTGCACTGTTGCCATAGTAATTAACAAGAAGTTGAAACCCATGAAAAGTGTAGATTTTACTTTTAATACTTAAAAAATTAAAAATGAACCATGCTTTTTGGTCAGTGGTCATATTGTTGGGCTGATGGCTGTATAGACCAAGTAACAACAGTGGGAGTAATGTAAAAAAAACAACAAAAAAAGTGTTTATACTGCCTTTGAGTGTTTACCTTGAACTGAAAGCAAAAGACAACTGTGATGGTATTAACTTTAAGTCGATAAAAGCTCAAGAGATTTGTAGGGTGTGTTTCTTTGGAAATCTGTTCAAAATGTGTTAAAGCTGTGAAGGGACAAAAGCAGAGAGCGACTGGACCAAGTAAATACTCACACATGATTATAGAGAGAGGGGGGATTAATCAGCTCATCTCCCTGCAGTGCATCATGGGTAATCCTGTGCATCTGAACAACCAAAAGCTGCTAGACGACTAGGGCTAGACTGACTGATTGTGCAATTCAGTTATGTTTTTAAATGTTTTCTTAAAGGTACTCATGCAACTTTTCTGGTAGGATGTTCGCTACCTGTTTATCTCCGTGGATATGTTATTGCTTTGCCTGGAATGTTGACACAGTATGGCATTAAACTTACTATCTTGAAATTATTCATGCATTCTTACTGTGAATGGACTTGACTCTCCACTGACCAGTAACTTAGTGGCGGCACCTAGAAATGTAGATATTTAATGCCAGTACTGTGGAATATTGCAGTCAAAGCAATTCTCCATGAGGATATGGACGATAGGCACCCCACCTGAAAAATTGCAAAGTGCACCTTTAAAGTATTCATCCCGGGAGCACATGAACAAAATAAAGTTTAAAATGTAAGACTCAGTACTCATTGTGAAAAAATTCCAGTATTTACTTTCTCATAAAATGGAAAAGTTATATGACACCCTACTGCACCAAAAGCCTTTCAAACCACCACCACACAATAACACTAAAGCATTCATAAAAGCACGAGGGGTGAGATGTCTTGCCTAAGGACACAACAGTAATGTGAACCTGAAATGCCCCAACTATTGAGCTGCATTATGGAGCTCAACAGTGACCGCCCACCCCCTGGTTCTGGATAAAATTTCTCATTCATTTTTCCCCATATACTTTCCCCAAAAAATTATGACAAAAGTTTGAAAGCTTGCTCACGGCTTATCTGCTATGTGGTAACTAATGAGCTATAGTTTCTGAACCTTTATAAACTGCTAACCACTTTATAAACCATTTTGCAGAATCTTATGTTTTAAATGTGCTTTTTAGGCTTAAAACTATTGCATTACGGATAGCTATGGATATTAGTTAACACGCAGCTGAATACACTTCACATAAGATAAATGCTTGTATATTTATACAGGAGTACTGACTTACATTTAACTAACTGTTTTACTTTTCTTCCACTTAATAATGGATGTATAAATAAATCACTTGCCTTTGAAAGCTGTCAGTCAGACCCTAGTGCCTACAAATGCCAACATACACTGTTTACTATAGGAGCAGTTTCGTCTTTTGTCCTGGTGAAACAACTTGGCTATTCCGTGTGTCTTTCCGTGTTCTGTTAGATCTTAGGCACAAACCAGCAGATCACAACTCAGTATTCAAATCTAGGCAGGATTTCTTGTATTGATTTGTATTTTGAATATTTGAAAATGTCTTTTTTGTGTTGAGGTCTATGCTGTGAGGGAGTTTACAACATCAGGAACCTAACCACGGTGGCACAGTGTTCACTTTATGTAAAATAACTTGAAGCGCCGATCGGACATTTGTTTTTCTGTTTCCTTGGTGATGTTCAAATGCTTGTCACTGGTCTCGGCTTCCTGGTTGTAAATACTACTTCTCTACAATGTTTCAGTCACAGATTTTCACCTTGTTTTGTATCGTTGTATTTTCAAAACCAGGACATAACATTGTATTAGTGAGTTGTTGGATTTGAAGGGACTCTATTATGGTTATTACTGTGTATTATAAAAATGTCAAAATTTCACAAAATGCTTAAAGAAATTTTGGATTTTTGTATGTTTTTTTTTTTTTTTCCAATTCTACACTTTTGCTAAGGCAGAGAACACCAATAATCTTAAATTAGCATAATAATAACCAAAACCAATCTAAATAATCATAATACTGTTTCTTTAAATCTCTGTTCCCTCCAGGAAGCCAGAACCATTACCATCTTGAATTAGATGTTATATTTGGTCCTATGGATACTGATGCGTGTGTGTGAGTGTGTGTGTGAATGGTGGGGTTCAAGTGGGCGGGGCCTCTGTAGCTTTTTACATAAATACTGAGTTTTATGGACATGTGCTATGGACTTTGATCCTGCACAGGTACTGGACGGGGTTTGGCTGTGAAAGTGGAGCTGAAAGAGTCAAAAGTATATATAATTCTATATTGTGCAGAATATTTATAGGCCTTTTGTGCCGCTGAAGTCATGCTCTTTCTACCATGTGGTCATTACATCGTCTTGTACCGATGAGCCGTGGTTGATTTGATTGTTTTTTCATGTCAAGTGCATTCGCAATAAATGCCTTTGTTTTAACTAAGATTCTGTCTGTTTTCTCTTATCTGCATTTGAATTATATTGCAATAATCCAATTAGGACCCTATTTTATGAACTGTAAATGCTTTTACAGGTTCCACACGAATCACAATAATAAAAGTATATCCATAATCATTATAGCTAATATTTAGAGTTAATAGTTCCAACAGTAGTACAGCTGCACCTGTATCTGTACCATCAGAGGCAGAACAGTATAATAATGAAAAACATTATATTCAATGGAGATCAGATCTAGACTGCTATAATAATATGGTTACTATGCAGACTTATAATAAATAATATACAGAAATATAGCCATATGTAAGAGCTAGGTAGTAGTTATGAAGTCCAACATCTGTGAATATTCCTTTTGGATACTTGGAAAAGTAGAAAAAACTGTCTTTGTCACTAATAATTAGGTAGTTAAATGTGACCTATTCTTCTTCAAGGCAGCACTTGGGGCAGCCTGTTAGAAGCAGTGGACCACTGCTGTGCTGTACTTCAGTGACAGCTTAACATTATAAAACTCAGTAAGAACCATCTTTAAGTTTAGTCTCTATTGCATCCTCACTGTTTAGTCTCTGTTGTCTGTCGCTGTGTGCCTGGTTAGACCTCCACAGTCTGAGGAGTGAGGAGTGTAATTGTTAATGCAGCAAGACTGTTAAATGACAGCCTGATCTCCAGCAGTGCCTCTGTCTCCACTCATCTGCTCCATTTGCATTTAGAGTGACTTCACACGGGACAAGGGCACAAGGCAAGAGGAGGACACCCTGTGTCCTCAATGTAAAGCTAAGACGGGAATACAGAGGAAATATTCTAATGTTTATACCAAGGTAAATGTACGTAACCAGAACAAAAGATTCCTGGCCATTGTTGCTGCTAGAACTATTTCCATTTGCATTGTGAACCACGTTAAAAGTAAATTTGATATGAAGGCCTAACATTAAAAATACATTTAAATTATACAAAAAATACATAGATTCGTGAGTTATGTTTACCACAAAACCTGCACTGTTACTTCTGCATAGCCCACATTTCAATTCCAATACAATTTTGTGGTGTAATCTGAAATTCAACAATATCCAATGAACAGTATTTACTTCAGCAAGAAAAATCACTGACCAGAATGTGCAGGTCCCATAGAGGCGCTAAACATGTCAGACTTTTACACTGGTTTACCTTATGACGTCCTGTTTCCAAGCGGAGCAGCCAGGTGCGTCAGTGTGCCTCAGGGAACCCATCAGCTCCACCACACGCTCCCCTCTCTCTCTCTCACTCTCTCCTCTGTACCCGCCACCTGTCTACCTGTCTGTCTATCAGTGTGCGTGTTTTAGCTCCCAGTCAATTGAAAGAAAGCCAAACCTGAAGGGGGCGACGTTGCACTCCTCATGACCTCCAAACAGCCTTAGTTGGGTAGTCCCTCTGTGTACTGTGCTCAAATATAGCAACATAATAAGGCTCGCCCAACAGTTGCTGAAAGGCTGTGAGCAAATGGCAGAATTCATATTATATTAAAACATCTTGAAAATGTACAATATAAAATCTAATTCGCCTAGGATCTATATTTGCATAATAGTGGAATGAATTTCCATAACAGTGAAATAAAAGGCCAGGCAATCATCATAGCAAAAAGAGCACACATAAGGTAGTTCTTGTTTGAAAAGATATATCAGGGGAAATCACAAAACAATAACATGTTTAGACAAAATATTCAGTTAAAGGTGCACTATGTAACTTGGGGATGGATCTGCCATGTGCTTGTTTCATGGCAATGTAATGGCTTTGCCCATAATGTTCCAGAGTATGGCATTAAGCAAATCTATCATGCATTTATTCAAGTACAAGTGTTTTTGCACATTTGTAGTTTTACTCTTAACTGTGTTACCTCTCCAAAGATCTGTCCTGCACCTTTATCTGGTAGCATAATCAAGGCCAATGTAATAAGATTAATGAAATCAAGCAGGTGGCAAACTCTCCATCAGAAAAGTTACATAGTGCACCTTTAATAAATAGTGCTCTGCTGAATATGTGTAAATATTATTGGTCTACTCAAACTGCTGCTACATCCTCTTAAATCACAAACAAGGACAGCTGTCTTGTCAAAAATACAGGATTTATTTTGAAAGAATAAAAACACTCCCAAATAACACTGTTGTTTCCTCAAACACAAGTGTAACATGAGGCACAGGTCAAATTAACTGCATTTATGAGTGAGTATCATACTATTAATAAGGCACTAACAAATCTAGTGTTCAGAAACTTGGCTGTGCTTTGAGTTGTAGTTCAGGTGCTACACATTTAACAAGACAAAGTAGTGTTTTTGGTTGTGCAGAAAATACTACTATATAAAACACTCAATAGTTAATATAAAAAGGATAAGATACACTTGAAAATGCTCATTGTTTTCTTGTTGGCTGGCAGTGTAGTAGAGTAAACATTGTACATATAAATATATTCTGTAACATGTACCTAATGCAGACAAAGGCAGAGTCCCATTGTTATTACTGCTGATTTTTGTATTACACATTCCCTATGAAAACACTATTCAAGTTTTCCTATAATGACCACAATATACCCTCAAAATGAATGAAATTATCATGAAAAGACTTAACGGCAATTACGGTTTTGTCCTAGCAAAATTCAATATGTTCCCATGGTATAAAAAATGATCACAGTCAATGAAATTCTGATATTAAGGAAGAAATGAAAAGATTAAAATGCCTTGTAAAATAATAGAAAATTTAGTTTAAATTACAGATTTAGTTTGTCCCTATGTGTACATGAAAGCAGGTCCCTTTTTATTGTATAGGAGTCTTTAAAATGCCCCAGTATGTTTAACATGAGTGTAGTGCTGTGGCTGTGAGGCTGAGTCTGCTAAGATGTCCCTCTTTGTACATAAAGTTAAGGAGGTAAACGGAAAATAAAAGCACAAACTGTATATAAAAAGAAAGGATAAATACACAATATTAAAACATAAAAACCCACAAAGCAGAAGACAAATGACACAGAGGAGGAGTCCACTTGGACTTAACTTTGGCGCAAAAAATAAAGTCATTGCCATTAGTGATTTAGACTGGAGCTGGGTACTGTTGCTGTTCAGTTCAGGTCCATTCAGGTCTTTACATGAAGCCGGAGCTGTAACAAAAGAAAAATAATATTTAATTCAGCAACAAATCAGTCCTCAGAAAGGTTATTCTAGTTAATAAATGGAAATAAAACATCAACAAAAAATAGGTAAAAATATTTTTCAATGACAAGTAACCATGTAAAAACATGGAAAACAATAGTGATAAATACACTGAACTTAATTGTACTTACCAAATTAAAGTAAATATCAACCATGTAATGTAAAGTAATGAAACTATAACTATTTAATTAAAACATACCTTGTAGTAAAATAAAGGGAACTAAATTCCAACTTTTTTTTCTTAAATTGTGAGGAAGAATGACATCACCACTAGATGGCAGTATTTATATTTTGGAAAAGCTTGAGCAATTTCAATTTCTTTCCTATGCTTACTATATTCTTTTTCTAAAATTCTTACTAAAGCTACATAAAAAAAACATCTCCCTTTGATAATTCATCACTTCACAAGGTAATTTTACACAGGATGAAACCCCAGGCTAACAACCTACTCAAAGTAAGTATACTAGTGTATTTTTGTGAGTAGTGTGGAGGGCAGTGCATCTTACTTCTTGCGGTCCTTGTCTTTCTTGCCGTTGGCTGTGAGGCTCTGTCCCTGCAGGAGCTGAGCCGCGGCGCGTCGTTTACTGAATGAGACCTGGTCTTCCTCCAGAGCCTTCTTCTTATCCTCCAGAGCCGCCTTCTCATCTGCGTGGAGTCGCTTTAGCTGCTCAAAACGGCTCTGCAGCTAAAACAAGAGACACAGAAAACATATGAAAGGAGCTCTATGATATATGCACTTATATTTATATGAGTATGTTTTATCTAGAGACAAATATTTGTGCATGTGTGTGTGTGTACATGGGTTAGTGTCATTAGATTATACATAACCCCAATTTAGGCCTGATGGTGGTACTCGGAAATATTCTCTTTTTCTATTATTGATTATTAAACAGATGTACAGTTACGCATTTACAGAGGATTAAAGGTGTACTGTGTAACTTTTCGGTTGTGTTCCGTCACCTTCTTGATTCTACGGATAGGTTATTAGTCTGCCTATATTCAATGTTCCACAGTATGACACTGAAAGCTCTACACCTTACATTTATTCAATTACAGATGGTTTTATAGCTCAGAAATACCTAGAATGAAAACAGGTATTCTCACTGTGAGCGTGGATGATGTAACATGGTTTGGTCTCCATGGATTAGAAAGGCTTGATGCCATACTGTGAAGCATTCCAGACAAGGCAATAACAATGCACATTTAAGGATGATTTAACTATAAAAGACTAGAATATGAAAGAGGGCAAAAATTACATTATGTCAGTGTTGCCATTTGCAGTGGTTTCCAAAGACTGGATCAAAACCTAAATTAGTTTATTTGGAGTTTGTAAAATTAAATTAATTTGAAGGCTAAATTTAATTTAAGTTCATTTTTGTTTTAGCCTTGAGGAATTTTATTTGACAGTTTGATAAAGTTCAGACTTCTACACTTCACTTAATACCATTTTACCTCTTATAATACATTTAGAGTAGTGTATATTTCAGTTAATGAAAGCCCATAGTAGAGTGCTACCTCTCTCTCAGCATCTTTAAGCTCCGCCTCCTTCTCCTTAACCCTCTGCACAAACATCTGTCTCATCTCATCCTCTCTCCTCTGCAGCTCCAACAGGAACTCCTGACGCTTCGCTTCATACGTTTCCTGCAAACTTAACACACACACACAGGGAAATACATTTACTAGTAGTTACTTGAATCCGTGCCTTTTTTTATGTCACTCCTAAGAAATATTGCTGAACTTGCAGTGGCAGTTGCTTACTTTATTCTAGAGATATTCAAACATACAGTTTTCAGAGTTTTAGTTGGAACAGTCTTCCTGAAGATATGAGACATGCCTATACTCTCTGGCAATGTTCAAATCCAGGCTCAAAATGGTTCCGTATAGCTGTGGAAATGACTGAAAATTCTGATTGGTCTCTTGGCCTTTTAAGGTAATTTTATCACAGTTATTTATGTTTTTTTTTACTGACTTATTGTTGATATTGTAATTTTAATGTGCTTTTCTTTCTTACAATTATTTTGTGAACAAATTGTGCTATACTAATAAACTTAATACAAACCTACAGAAGCAAGTAAATTCTAAATAAATATATAGTAGAGTTCTGGTACCTGACAGGCTTGCACTCGGGGTCTGTGTCCTTGAAGCCCATCTCCTCCAGTTTGCAGCGTCTGTAGAGCTCATAGTGTCTGGTGTGAGTCTGCTCTCTCAGGTCTTCCATGTTCACACAAATCAGCATCTCCCTCAGCTTCATGAAATCACAGTGGCTCTCATTCTCAACTGGGAAACACATTACACTCCATTACACATAGAAATACAGAACAAACAGATAAAATCTAGATTATATTGACTTTTTTCTGCTGTGCTGGCATTTATTGTTTGTTAAAATGTATAAAATAATGCAGTTACTGTTACACACAAAATTGTGAGGTGCCAACAGCAATGGGATGAATAAATATATCTTTTACACCTGTGTATTTCCATTTAGAGCAGAGTGGTCTGATAATGTACTGAGGAATAAACAATTGTGAATAGCTTATTGCCAGAATTGGTATGGTCCAATGTAAATTATAGCAATAATAATAACACATTGCCTTTCAAGACACCCAACCATCACACAAACTTCCTGAAGATCTGAGCTAGTCCCTTACTCTGAACTAATCTCATTTTATGATGATTATTTATGTTTTTTATTTGTTTGTTTGTATTGTGATTTTAATGTCTTTCTTAGACAAAGCACTTTGAAATACTTAATGTGTGAATAGTGGTATACAAATAAACTTGCCTTGCCAAATTGCATTGCATTATTAATTTATTTGCTGAAATGGTAAGCCATTATTGCAATTTGACGGACACAAGGCTGCCAATCTGCGCCATCAGCTGCTCCGACTCTGACCACCACAAATCACATACACCACATTCATAATGTTTAATGAATTATATTATTATAGATTAAACTGTACATTTACCTTGTACTATGCCCCAAGGATACTGACGGGCCTTCACCATTTTATTTCCAACCATCACTTCCTCTGTACTTCCTACTACAGCGAAAGGCAAATGACCCTGAAACACACACAATATGTAATCAGTTTAAAAAAAAATAAGAGGTGACATCTATTCTGATTGATCAGAATAAAGGATAGTTTTTGGGACCACAGTCTTAGTATAAACCTGTGGGAAACATTGTATGAAGTATTTGAAGTACTATGACCACGTCTGCATTAACACTTCCTACTGACTTACATTCATGGAGGTGTTGACTTTGGCCACTGTCTCGTCATCGATGGGAAACTGGTAGATCTGGACTCCATTACTGACAAGTTCACTCATAATTTTGATTTTAAACTTGTGCAGCTCGCTCTTACTGATGGTGTCTGCTTTGGCGATCACCGGGATGATGTTCACCTGCAGAAAACACATCATGGAATCACTATGAAACATAACACTATAGCAATATATTTGGTTTCAAATGGTGCCTTCTTTTTCTCTTTCAATTCTAGACATAGTATCCTTGTGTGACAGTTTTATAATAAAACATCATGTGCTATTCTTGATGCAAAACCACTCGTTTAATTTAAGCTTGGAAAATTAACTGGATTGTTTTTCTATTTGGCAACCAATCTGATCGACAAAAATTCTCGAAACCTGAAAATCTTGCTTTTTAAACAAAAATGTACAAACCTGAATTTAATGTTCAGAAATATAATGTTTTAGCTGGTGTTAAATAACAAATGCTTAAGAAACCTCAGCTGTGATTATTGGGAGTCAGTAGTGGTGAAGCTAAGTAAGTGATGGAGACCAAAAGCTATCACAGCACAACACCACAAAACCTCACAGCAAATGAATCACCTCAAAAGAAAAGGGACCTCCTTTTCAATAGTCTTCTGGGAAGCATGAACACCATTGTAAATACAATAAATTGGCTGAGCTAAGTAACATTTAATAAGAAATAGGAAGAAATAAACATGCAGATAAAATGCTGTGACATATGATGAAGGAGTGCTTTTAAATATATTTGAAACCTGACAGTGTTCAACAACAGAATGCCCTGAACATAACATTTTAACATCAAACAAGCACAAAACAACAGTTGTTATAACATTGGTCTAATGATAGTTTCTGGCCCTAATTTAACTGCTCTGAAGCTACACAATCTGCAGCCATGTTATTTCTGGCATTCACCGCTACATTCCTCCTCAGTGTCTGCCATCTCGTCATGCCAAAGACAGCACTGGAATGGGCCCTTGTCACTATTGGAGTTTCTATGCCGACCACACATCCAGCTACAAGCGCACAACATACAAAAAGCACCGCACTAAATCTAATAGAGAAATGGGTGTTTTCTGTCAAGCTAGCACATTCAGTATAACGGTAAGTGAAACAAAAGGGGCAACTACGGTAAAGTGGTGAAGTGTATGCGCGAAGTGATTACGGCATTCCACTGTTTTTTCCGCTCTTTTCACACGCAAATCCAGGGTTATACTGACACTGAAATCACACAGCGGCACCAATGGACACAAGCAGCTACACACAGAGCCTGGGAAAGTCTGTGGCTACTGGAGGAGAGAGGGGGGAGAGATAAGGGAGAGAGAGAGAGAGAGAGAGAAAGAGAGAGCAGAGAGGGTTGAAGGGGAAGAAAGAGGGGGAGAAGAAGAGAAGGGGGGGGGGGGGGCAGGAAGAGAGACAAAGAAAGATAGGGAGAAAGAGCAGTGGAATAGAGAGAACAGGGAATAAGAAGAAAAAGAGGAGAAAAAAGAGCAAGAGAGAGAGAAGGAAGCGAGGGAGAGAGATCGACAGAGAGAAAAGAAAGAACTGGAAGAGGCTTGACTAACCATTAAAACACCAAGAGGTGGGACAGCCACAGAAGGGCCTAAACTAGGGACTAGGGAGATACTTCTCTAATATGCAAAAACAACTGGAAGAAAACTATATGAGACTACGATTTTCTTTTTTGTATTAGCTGGAATGAGAAGAAAATAACATGAGCGTATATAATCACAACTGTATTATTTAAAAACAGTAATGGACTTCAAAGAAAACTATTTAGATTTTTTTTTTCAAGTAGGTTTTCAATAACAAAGATTTAAAACCATGAAAAGATTTATGTGCAGATATGCAAAATACATTTCAGGTCAATCTTAGCTTGCGAAATGGTGGTTAGATATGACAGGCAATCTGCCAAGAAACCCTTTAATCATGTGCCCTTCAATGGATCATAAAATATTTTTCTGAGTTCTACCTTGCTGTCCAGTTTCTTCATGGTGACCAGGTCCAGAGATTTGAGCGTGTCCCGAGGGGGAGATGAAGTAGAGACATGCATGGACACGTGAGTCGTGGTAGTTGTGCAGTGAGCGTTTGATCTTCAGCTCCTCCTGCAAATAACTCTCAAACTGTCTGTCAATGTAGTCCACCACCGGCTGGTAACTGTAACACACACAAAACAATACACTTCAGTTAATCACATTAAATGAAACACATGCATATTTGTACATTAGGTAAAAACTATTATAATTTCATATTGGTAGACTTATTTTTTGTGCTTGAAAACACACAAAATCTGTGTAAGGTTGAAGGAAGTGAACAGATCATGCATCAAATTAGGTGAGGAATGACTGAGTAAGTGCTGAGGCTGAGTAATGAATTAAATGTAAATTGAGACTGAGCCATTTCTAATTATCAATGATATTCTTGAGAGGTCCTCAGCCAATTGTCTGACTTTTGATAAATTATTAAAAGTCTTAACTGTTTATATTCAGGAAATTAATATTGAACGTCTTCTTTATTTATTCTTAAAAAGACAAAAACATACATTTAGTTGCCATATTGTCCCGCAATGATTTTTTCTTTCATTAATTATCAAATATGTTAATAATAAAGGTACAGATATATCAACAGCTTATTCCACATATTACATGCAGTCATATGAGGAATAAGAACAATAGTCCCACCTCTCCTGTTTGTTCATCTGGTCCCCAAACCCCACAGTGTTGACCACAGTGAGGCGCAGCACATTGCTCTCTTGAAGGTCGTAGGTTTGAGCACGGAGCTTCACCTGAGGCTCAAAGTGCGATGACTCGAAATTCTCAAAGTTTGTATTAAAAAGAGTATCCATCAAAGTCGACTTGCCAATACCAGTTTCACCTGCATCAATACAGTAATCAGTCAATTTAGATTCAGAATCTATAAAGTTAAACTGTGTTTATGTAATGCTGTACCAATGCAGAGTATGTTGAAGCAGAATCCCTGGCAAATAGATTTATTGACCAGCTGATCAGGAAGACTGTCAAAGCCCACATGACCGGCCAAGTTCAGGGGGCGAATGTTCTTATCCTGGAGGCAAAACACAGAATATTTTCATTATTACACATGACATAAATACAATCATTATTAGTACATTTCTATTATAATTAAGTCCACATCACAAAAGTCTTGGAATTAATTAACAGGAGCAGTATAAGCCCACTCATTTTAAAAGTAAAAATTATTTTTTCTTTCAGGGTTATCTTACTGAATTTTTAATTATACACTAAATGATTGAGTCATTCAAAATTAACTTTACGTATAACAACTTTATTAATCATATTTGTCTGATTGGCACCAAAGAAACTTACCTGCCATGCTAACACAGTAAGGAATGAACTGTTGCAAAGGACAAATAAATATACAGATACTATGCAGTGATTCGTTGGGAAAAGGTTGAAGATCTTTGTTTGAGACACTTTCTCAGTCACTTGGTACAACCTAGACTCTAGAAATCCAGAAAAGTATTTTCGTATGATAGGTATGTGACCGGATGAGTGGTACGGTTGTTTTGGTTATATTAATCACAACACAAAACTATTTCAATCTCGGCTAGCTGCTGCTAACCCAACATTAGCATTGGACACTCCCTGGAATACCATGAATGTTGTGAAAACTCTGTAAGAACACTAAATAGAAGCACATACCAGTTGGCGAGCGACATCTGAGGAAGCCATGGTTTATATACTTGTAATACTGAATGAATAAAACAAAATCAAACTTATTACAAAGTAAAAAATCTTTCTTTGAAAATCCTTACAGACCGCCCCACTGTGACCGTCTAGCGTCGACAACTGGACAGAATGTACCACTCCACACAAAAGAGAAATAAGTCGGATTTGATTTTATTACTTTGTTGGGCTTTATCAACAATATTTGCAAAATGTGAATTCTGAAACATAAATATTTAGTCATATTTAATATTTAGTTCAGCCGCAAATTTCGAAACGATATACTTTTTCTAAGCACCCCTTTTTCACACTATAATGGTACGAGCCGTTCATTCTTTTCAGTTAAACGTTATTTTAAAAATGCCAAAAATAATAAATAAAACATAGGCCTATTTTTGGCATCATTGTTTGAGGGAAATACACGTGCTGACATTGTGTTCTATTTAAAAATATATTTCTTAATAAGAGTCCATACGCTTTGTTTGTGGTTTAGCGCCCTCTACCTGTGGTCACTGTACATGCACACAACATTGGTTTTTCCCACAGAGGAGGAGAGCAGGAGGAGGAGGGAGGCCGAGGATGAAGATGCTGTCATGCCGTCACCAAAACGAGGGAATGGCATCTACGTGAAAACCACGATATTTTGACACGTCTTTGTTTGACGTTTGGTATTTTTCTCCATAAAAAGCATGACATCCCAATGCACAGAGCAAGCCGTGCGGGATTACCTAAAGGACCATGGAGGGAGGGTCCAACTGATGGAGCTGATCGATCATTTCCTATCAGATTGCGCGGAGAATGAGTCACAAGAAGCTGAGGAGAGGCGAAAGATGGTGAGGAGGATCGTGGACACCGTGGGGTCCGTGAAAGTCGAAGATGGGGAAAAAATTGTCTGTTTAAACAGCGAAAACAGCGACGAGGAGGTGATGCGTTCAGGCTCGGCTGTGCACGGCCAGCCTCATTCAGAATGCAATGGGAACATTCACTTTGTCAATGGCAACCCCGACAACAAACAGCAAACAGGTGAGTCAGACTGTGATTACAGGCTATTTAGTTGACTGATCTTTAGAGAGCACTGCTACCGCAACCCAAAGCATGCTGTTTTAGCTTAGGCCTGTGTTTGTAGCCAAGTAATTAAAGATAAATAACAGTTACATACAATAATCTCAAAGGTAAGCTTAAGCATTGTAACATCGTTTATACAATTTAACAATAGTTTTTTTTCTCCTTTTGCATTGCACTATGAATTAGGTTACTGTTGTAGCTTGTATTTTTCTGCCCTACTTTTAAAAGCCCTCTAGCAATGTAACTAGACATTCATGATAGGCCCTATTCAATGGGAGCCTATTTCACTGCTCATCACTCATGTAATAATAAACATATCCAGTTAATAGTAAAAAGGAGAAATTCAGGTGATAACAAATTATTTTAATTTCTATTATCAACTTGTATTATAGTAGTATTTGATTATTGAATTATTCATTCAAGATTCCTTTACAAACCTACAGATGCAACAAAATGAATACCCAATGACATAAAGTTAAAGTTTAATTAAATTTATTTTTGTAGAGCTCAAATCACAACAGCAGTCGCTTCACAGAGCTTCACAAAATTGTCGATTTAACCAGCAGAAAGTTAGAAAACCAACAGCTATTTATCAGTTACATTAAACTTGTTTATTATGTGCTTTGTTTTCCATAGAAGCATTAAGTCCACCTGCAGATGCTCTTGACAACGCCAAAGAATCCAATGGCAACAAGCAACCTGCTACTCTGCCCCAAACCCAAAACCACAGACATGGCACCCCTACCTCTGGGGGCGGGGCTGGAGAGGTAAGGTTGAGAGACAGGAGGAGGCGAGAGTCTGCACCTGTCATCGGAGCATCTGAGCTGGAGCAGGTGCATGCGGCAGGTTCCCACAGTCAGCAGCTGAGGGCCCTGCGCAGAGTGTCCAAAGGCTCCCAGCGCGCCATCCTCACCAGCTGTTTATCTGAGGACAGCACTCTGGAGGGCCTGGAGACCATTGGGGACATACACACGCCAAAAGGGAGTCGCAGGAACTTTATAGAGCTCATGATGAACAGCTCTCCACAGGTACAGTAAGCACATGTAAAGAGGATTTTAAATGTTTTTTTTTCTTTTCCTCACTGTGAGCGTAATGTGCTTATCATTTCGTATCATCATCAAAGATCAGTTAAATTACTGTAGACAAAATTTGCACTTTCAATAAGAGTAACAGTTTAGCTATTGTTAGATAGATTCCAGTCCAAGCCCTTTTGAAAATATAGTTTTAGTTTTACTTATAGTGCTCCATCATACAACATTTTTCAAGATGCTTGTTGATTATTTTGTATAGACTAGCATGCCTTAAGGATACTTGTGAAAGTCATAAGACATCATCTGACACATTCACCTCCTCATGACCTTTGAGGTCACATTTATCAGTCAAAATTCAGTACTTATTGATTACACAGCTGTTTAAATTTTACAGCAGGTCAGAGGTTTTAGAGGCTATACTTTAATCTGCCTAGTTTTTATAACAGGCTTTTCTATGTTTAAGAGACAGTTATGTTCAGAAATAGGCATTATTACATTATTACCAGTTATTATGTTATAATCACACTGTATGCATTTAGTTTCTTTAGTTGTACAGTTGCTCATCTGTGGGATATATCTGATGGGTCACATGACCCTAAGCATGATCTGCTGCACTTATGTTGATGTCTTACCACAAGTTAATATACAAACCATAAATGAGGAAGTTTTTTACCAAGTAGTCAAGCACATAAACTTCTAGTCCCATGGTTTAATCATTTATATTTCATGTTAGTAACTGGTGACATTTCATTCCCTTTGTCAGTGGTTACATTATGTCTTTTTTGCAGGTGCGCAGGTCTCTTATAAATCGTGGCTCTCGTCTTCGTGACTCAGTGCGAAGTGATGGTGACTCCACGTCTATTCTCTCCTCAAACACAGATGAAGACTGTGCCTCAGTGACCCTTGACCCCCTGGAGCATGAGTGGATGCTGTGTGCGTCTGATGGTCTATGGGAGAGTCTACAGCCACTGCTAGCTGTGGAGCCCAGTTTAGTGGCCAAGAAGGACTTTGTGACAGGCTTCACCTGTCTGCACTGGGCGGCTAAACAGGGCAAGGATGAGCTAATATCGCAGTTGCTAACCTTCGCTAAAGACAACAGTGTTTCAGTGAATGTGAATGTGAGATCAAGTGCTGGATACACTCCTCTGCACCTGGCAGCTATGCACGGACACGTACAGGTGGGTAATGGTGAGGGGGGACAGTGTAAGCATAGGGATCAATTGTTACAGTGAGCCAGTGGACTGTAGCATGATCACTCTCCTTTTGCTTGAGCTGGACTTAGTAATAGACTGTGGTAATTATTTATGTGCAGGCAGGAGCAGATAATTGGGTGTGTGAAAACAAAGGAATTTTCTGTCACTACTGTATTTGTCACAGTTGTACAAACCGACAGATGGCATGGCTTTTGTAACTTTTGAGGTTGCTCACAAAAAGTGCATTTCAGTAGCAGCTAAAAAATAATACTAAAACTGCCACTGTTGTTACTTTTACCACTTTACTCTTTGTATTGCTCATAATAGATGTTATAGTACCAATGTTACTAATGCAATTACCATCACATTGGTTACTATTAGAATTAGAGTTTGGAGATGTGAAGGTTTCTGCATTTTTGTGGTTACAACATGAACCTCAACCACATTTACAGGCACATTCCTGATGAATATCAATATATTTGTCAATATTGACCTATAATTACAATTACTATATTACTCAAAAACAACTATTACAGTCAGCACATTTATGTTACCTTTACTGATATTAAACATTTGACCATTTAAAGGCTGTTCGTGTGTTGCTGTCGGACTGGGAGGCAGATCCTGATGTGCGAGACTACAGCGGGAGGCGGGCCATCCAGTACCTTCCCCCTCCGCTGGTCGCTGGTCTACACGAGGAGGGCGTGGTCACTTCACCTGGCACAGAGTCAGACAGCGAAAACAGCAGCAGCACTGGGGGGCGCTGGCGTTTTCCCAGAGTTCTCCAGGGCAACCTCAATCCACTACGTCTCCTGAACCCACCAGCAGAGGCAGCAGAGGATGGGACAGGGAAGAGTAAGGGAGGGATACAAAGGAAATCATCTCTGAGCCGATTAAATGCTCGTCTGCATAGGGGGCGACATAGAGCACAAATCATACACAGTGCCTCCTTCAGGGACTCTGGAGATGTGGGAAAAGGGGAAGATCTGCCAAAAAGTCCACTACGAACTCGACCATTGTCAAATCTGTTTGGGTAAAAAGACACAATAAAAAAACAATTTAAACTTATTTTTTAATATCTACAATTTTACTCTCAATAAGTTAACATTCCTTTTTATCAAAACAGTGAAGTTTGCACTACACTGAAATTGTAGTAGTAGAAAATGTATGCAAAAATAACCAAGTTTTTATGTTGAAGTCAGACTGCCAAGGAAATGTTTTGACAAAGGTCCTATAAATGTGACATTCCATCTAACATTCCACTTAGTTAATATTACCATACAATGTTCCTGATGCAGTTTTATATATTTAAATATCTTTCATCAATACTTTAAAAGCACAAGTTTATTATTAAATCACAATCTTTATTTTAATATTTATAATTTAAAGTCATTTCAAACTCATTTAAACAAATTGTATTTTATTTATTAGAACATTGTTAATCTTATTGTTAACACTTTAGTTGTTGCACTAAATTATAATTAGTTTTAGTTTACAATTCTAAAATTTAAGTAGCATTTTGAAAATATGTTTTGTTTAGGTTTTTTTGTTTAGGTTTTTTTTTTTTTGGTTTTCAGATATATTTTAACATTTTTTTGATTTGAGTATTGTTGGATGATTATTTCCGTTCCATTCATCGTTTTTTTTTTTTTTTTTTTTTAAATATGTAGCAGATTTTATTAGTACACACAAAGCAAAGCATGGACTATCTCAATTACAGTTGTACATTTGCACTGTGTCACTTTGGGAATAGGAGGGTAGTCATAACTGCCATACTGGCCTATTCAGTTGTTTTGGACCTATAAAAACCTTGTTGGAATTCATTTGTAAAATTCACCTTTATAATGATACTGTATAGAAAAATGTACCACATTGTACCTCTTGAAATCCAATTAGTTTTTTTCCCCTTGTTGCACTCACTAAAGGGCCTGCCCTGTACCTGACTTCTACTCCATAAAAAGGCAGCTATTTGTGGGGGAAAAGAATAAACAATATTGCATATACATTTTAAAGACATTTTGCTCAATGAGAACCACAAGTGTACAACTGGACATGTTCCTCAGTTCTGGTTCAAAAAAGGTACAGGCCCTTTAATAGGAAAAAACACAAACATTTCTTTACAGTGTAGCACTTTGTTGACAGCTAGACCCATGTGGTAAATAAGCTACCTTAGATACTTCCAAAATCTTTTCCATTATGCTTTGTATAATGCAACATGCTTAACTGCCCTTATGTATTGCCCCTGCATGTATACGAACATTGGCTCATGTATTTTATTTGATTTTGACTGTATTCCCTAAATATGTGAATCTCTCATTGACCTTTTAATGAACCTGAAATCTGAATGTACTTCTTGCAGTTGGTAGCACAAATTGTAGGGCTACTTTGGTGTAAACTTGTATGAAGCATTATCACTTTGTAAAGAGCATGAATAAGGAACGTCTTACATCTTGTGCAATGTTTTTCGGTTGTTAAAATCATGTTTGTGAACTTTGTGTGTTGTATGAAACCTGAGCCAAGTATTTTATTTGTCAGCCCTGAATGTGAATAAAGCAATAGTTGTTTATTTGTTTGTTCTGTTTTTGTCTGGTACTTGTGAAGGTACCGCTTGAAATAGGCTCTGAAGTTTCGCCTTTGAAACAAGAAGTACTAAAAGTAAAAGTAATTTATATACAACACTGGAAATAACACTTTCCTTTCACTTCTATCACTGCTTTCCTCAGTACACCACAGTGCTATGAACTGTTGAACATACTGTATGTGTTGACCTACTATGTATTTAAAGAAGTTTCAGCTAATTTTCAGTTCAATCCTGATATTACATTTGTTGCTTATAAGTTATAAGACTATTGAAGGGTCAAAAAAACCTGAAAAAATCAAAAAGACTACTTCATTTGTGTTCTTATGTACGCATGTATGTAAGTAAAGTTGAATTTTGAATTGTATTGCACTAAAATATGATTTTAAACACAATTTTTTTTTTACAAATCCACTCTACAGTTGTGTTCACTACTGTACATAAGAATATCTATAAAGCAAAATGCATTTCCACTGTTGAACATTGTTGTTTGAGTGACACTGTCCCATGAGCTGCTTATCCTGCTGACACAGCAGATTGTCACAGGCTGATAGAGCTGAATAATTGATGTCCCTGTGCCCCCCTGTCCACAGCTTTGGTGCTGTGCTCAGAGTTTATCCACCGCTTCCTGTCCACAAGCTGTCCACCTCTCACTCCAATGTGAATATTGACTGACAGTGTTCTTCACTCTGCACCTGGCGCTAAGGGACCAACCAGGAGGCCTCGGATTACACTGGACAACATCCATTTACTCTATAGGATTTATTTTTAAAAGGTTGAGAAAAATGAGAAGATCACATGTGTCTATGGAAGAGAGAGCAGCAACAGTCAATGTACATTTGAATGTTGGCAAACAGTAAATAAATGTGTTTACAATAACCTAATTCAAATGCATTTTCAAGAATCTAAAATGTACATTATTTCCGGAATCACTTTCTTTGCAATGACAATGTCTGTTGTATCACCTCACAAGAATAGGATGAAAAATACTTGAATCAATGTTATTAAAAATTTAGAAGAATTAATGTAGCTGTGAAATTAGAAAAAATAAGAAACAGCTATATGAGTTGAAACAGTGATACTACTACTAATACTACAACTTTAAAGTTTGCCTCATGTCTGTTTTGAATGACTGTGACATTAAATAGGACATAACTTGGTAAATTTTGATAGACATTTAAAAAAACAATATACCTGTGATGATCATTACTTTACCCATGGTCAAATAACCTAAAGCAGAGATGTGTTTGCTGGCTGCTCATAGTAGAGTCTGACTGTGGCTATACTGACCTACATTCACAGATAGGGTGTGATGCCTGTTATGTAAATTCCTCTGCCATCTTTTCAGAGAAACTGTGCCAACTTCCCTGCCCGGGGCCTCCACTGGACATTTATCAGTGTGTCTAATCCATTCACTGTGCCCTTTCACCCAAGCATGTAACACGTTCCCTGTGGCATGCAATGAAAGACTGATTCAAAATAGAAAGATTTAAAGACACATAAAACATAAAAAGGCAAAATGTGTGAGCTACTTTAAGGTGGGCCTAACAGTGCTTTTTAATACCTCTGTCTAATCCTTTCTTGCAGAATGAATATATAGGCCTATTAGTTTTATTCAGGGGTTTCAACTTCCTGGTATAGCCAACATTTTGTGGACTTTATTATTTAAAATATCCATGAATTTCAGAATGGATAATGATAAAACCTTAAATCTAAAAAACTACCAGATTTGATCCTGTGGTGGACCGTTCATAGTTCAAAACAATAAAAATTAGGCTACTGTAAATTACAAGATTTTATTTATGATATGTTAACACCACTCTGGGCTTTAAACATTGTTCACTCTAACTGTGCTTTGCCCAGCCCATATTACAACACAAACCCTGCATATTTAGTAGGCTGAATTCTCCTCTAAAACAGAAAACACTGTTCCTCCTTGTGATGTCATGTGGTAATGCAGTAAGTGCTCCACTGTGTTTTTAAACTGCATACACCTTCACTAGAATTATTTGGATAAACAAATGGTAAATGTTACCTGTTGAAAACTACCACTTACCTACATGACAAACAAAACAGAGCATTTTGAGCTTTGGGGATGTAGACAGACTAAAAATAAAGAGCTACTCATGTGTGATATGTGTGAATGAAACAAAACACAACTCCAGGTATGTTTTTGAGGAAGTAACACCATTTTACTAGGGCTTAAAGCTCACAAGAATATAGGACGTTTAAGAAATCACTAACTGGAGGTATTTCCCACATTTCCACCTGGCGGCGCTGTTTACAAATATCTCCTCTAGTGCGTCTTGTTGGCACTCAAAGGTCAAAGTGCGCTTCCTTGATAACGAAAGAAGCTTGAGTTGCGATGTTTTCTTTAAACAAACGCTAGGCAGCCGCCATAAATTGTGATATTGAAGTTTTTTCATGTAATATAAATGCGAGGTGAGTTGCTTTTAGTCTTTAGTTTGTTTCGCAACCAGGTACATTGTTTACAGTTCTCTTGAACATCGGCTAGCCACTGAGCTAATATTAGCCATTTCCATCTTATTTTTTTATGAAACCCAGAAGGTTTGATTCGCTTTGATCCTAGCAGACAAACATTGTCGAATCACGATCAAGTTACTTACCACGTTTTTGGTCTGACTTTTCCAAAGACCCGAATTTCTGCATATTTGTGTGGTTACAGCTTACAGATTGTGTTGCTGGGACGTCTGAAATCTCACATTATTTCATAAACAGCGCTTGAACTTTACTTCATTTGTCTCTTCTCAAATAACGTGACGCCAAATGTTTTTTTAAGAGCACCCGTACACGGAGAAAGAGGCATAAATGGTTGCATAATATGACATCGCAACAACCACACGATCCAGATATCGGATCTACCAAATGAGGTTCTGTTTGACAACGATTTGACTTTGTATCTTTTGTAGATTTTATTGCCTTGCCCGAAATGTTTGCAATACACAGTGTGGCATTTATCCGAACAATTTTGCATTTACTCTACGGGTGTTTTTATTGTTGATCACTTGAATAACACTGACATTCTTACTCTGAGTGGTGTAGATAGGGACATTTAATGCCATAGTGTGGGACCTTCAAGACAAAGTAATAACATCTCCAGAGAGTCAAGAATTATGGTGGTCCGGAGCCTACACCAAAAACGTACATAGCGGCACTTTAATTAAACTATAATAACTTTCTCTTCTCTTTTCTTTCTTTTCTTAAGCTGCTTCCTTCTGTTACAATGACCACTACAATAGTCCACGACACTTCAGAGGCCTTGTGCCTGTCTGCAGAGTACAACCTGTTCCTAAAACCCATCGCCAAAATGACAGTCAGTGTTGCCTTGCCCCAACTCAAGCTTCCCGGCAAAAGTATCTCCAACTGGGAAGTGATGGAGAGGGTGAAGTCCATGGTTGCTCCAGAGCAGTTCTCTGTCCTCCGCATCTCCAAGAGCACCATGGACTTTATCCGGTTTGAAGGAGAGGTGGAGAACAAGACCGTAGTCAAGAACCTGCTCACACGACTTGACGGGAAGACCATCAAACTGAGTGGATTTACTGATGTTTTGAAGGTACTATCATTATAACAGGTAGTTTTCAGATCCATTTTGAAAAAGGGTCAGAATTCCTCTACTGATTATATGTCGGAACTGATATATATTCAATAAGAAGTGCCTGGCAATTATAATGATCAATATTATTATCATTATAATAAAGAGAGGATATTGTGTTAATTCAACTTATGGGAGCTTTCTACCATGTTATAATGTTGTTCCCTCATCAAAAACATGCCTAAAGAGGTTTTATATGCCATCAATGCATGTTTGATTAATGCTGTTATAACACTATGAAGGGAAGTAAATTGTGAGACCGCCAGCTGTGAATAGGTGGGGAGGTAAAGCTGTTGCTTGGCTATACTCAGTGATTCTTCACAGCAGCAACCTGGAAGAGGTCATATCTATCTTAACCTTGTGTCCTTAGGTCCGTGCTGTGGAAAACAAAGTGGACTGTCCCACACGCCATGACTGGGACTCATTTTTCCGAGATGCCAAAGACATGAATGAGACACTTCCAGGAGAGAGACCGGACACCATCCACCTGGAGGGACTGCCCTGCCGCTGGTTTAGTCAGAAGGACAGCCAGTACCCCGACAGGCCCTCAGAGGAGGTGCTCATAGCAGTCTTTGAGACTTTTGGAAAGGTAATATGCAGAAAAAAAATGAGGGCATGTGTGAAATTATTGTAATAATGCAATACCCATATCACATTGGCCATAATATTAAGATGCTCCACCTGAAAGATTTACAGGTTTTGTTTATGTGTTGTGTCCAAAAAAAAGTCTCACAATAAAAAAAAAAAACACAATATACTTACGCTAAACTCCTTGTATGAAAAAGTACATGTACATGGAACATAGCTCATGTGTAGCCCTGTTGTAGCACTACTCATCAGTGTCTAAATTGTGTGCATGTGCTGTGCGTTGTGTAGATAAGGAAAGTGGACATCCCCATGCTGGACCCCTACAGAGAGGAGATGATGGATAAAAACTTCAGCACATTCAGTTTTGGTGGGCACCTGAACTTTGAGGCCTATGTCCAGTTTGTGGAGTATGGTGGTTTCACTAAAGCCATGGACACTCTACGGAGCATGAAACTGATGCTGAAGGGAGATGATGGCAAAGCTGTAGCCTGCAATATTAAGGTACAGGAGATTTACATGTATTTTTTTTTTATTGCATAATATATAGACTCTCTCATTTATAGTTTCCACAGCTCATGTTCTATTACATTAATTATTCTTACTGACACACCATTGCATCATGTTGTCACAATGAGACAGTCTGACCTAGCAGATTTAGGAGCTCTTAGTCTAATGACAATTAAATCTGCATCGTCATTGTTTCCTAGATAAAAACACAGGGTGCCCTCTAAATCCTTACTCTTCTCATTTGAGCTAAGTAAATGAACACAATCAAGACCTATGTTCATACTAGACAGTAGGGGAGTACTAATTAATTTGTATATTGTTTTTGTACATTTGTTCATATAACAGTATTCTGACACTATAGTTTGATAAATGTAACAATAGTAACCCAGCATCATATTAGGTTGAACTTGCTCTTTTGTTACTTTTGTTACTCTTTTGTTACTTTTGTTTTTGTTTATATTGTTTTGGGTAATCTTTCTCTATGGAGGCTGTCGAACCCAAACTCTACTGTAGTTTAATTAGATAATGTGTTCCAGGTTACCAGTGTACGCAATATTCCTAAACTTTTTTCCCATTCAAAAGATATAAGATATATAAGATATATTGTTAAACACTTTGGTAACAGTTTCATCATTCTGAAATCTTAGGACAGCCTTCTTTTTCACTGCTAAATCAGATACAACACAGAAGAATTAAGAAATCAAATTAGAGGTTTGTTTACAATCAAATTATATGTATTTTTATTCTAGGTGAGCTTTGACACCAGCAAGCACCTGAGTGATGCAGCCATAAAGAAGAGAAATATGGAAAGACAGAAGCTACAGGAGCTGGAGAAACAGAGAGAGGAGCAGAAACGCAGAGAGAAAGAAGAGGAAGAGCGGCGGAAAGAAGAGGAGAGGTACAGTAAGATTTGTCTTCCAAAAATACCAAAACTGTGAGTCAGATTTTAAAGCCACAGTATGTAACTTTTATACTTTATTTTAAACTTTATTTAATTTGTATATTGCCCTGAAAAACTGTAATCTTTACTCTGAGCAGCAAAATCCTCCAGGAGGGCCTCCTTCTGCTTGTTTTGATGGAAATGTTCCTTTCCCTTTTCAGAATTTTACTTCTCAGAATTCTGATTTACTGATGAGATTTTACGCTCATTCTGAAATTCTTACATGTAAAGGTTTAAAGATGATGATGAGACCTCAATCCTGACCAAAGTGTAAAATCATATAAAAAAGTCAAGGAAATACTTTTTAGCAGGTGTGTTAGAAATTATAAGCTTGCATTATTGTTCTTAACATGAAATGTCTTTTTTCAGAAAACAGAAAGAACAGGAGGAAGAGGAGAAAGAGAGGAGAAAGGAGGAGAGACTTCGCAAACGTGAGCAGAAGCTAAAGGAAAGAGAGGAGCGAAAAAACTTGAAGAAGGTCAAGAAGCAACAAGAGGAGGAGCAGAAGAAACTCCAGATGAAGATCGCCATGGAGGAGAGGAGGCTGCTGCTTGCTCAGAGAAACCTGGAGTCCATACGGCTGATTGCTGAACTGCTGTCCAGAGCAAAGGTATGATAATAAATCAAACTGAAACTCATAAAGACGTTATAATAACACAGACAGCACTGATGAAGGCACAACAGACTGCATCCTGTCCAACCAGGGACGGTGCCACATTAGAAAGAGCCATTTTGCCTGGGCAGGTGGCAGTGTAAACAGATGGTGCTATCATTTGTGAACAATTATGCAAATTGCCAGGACTGTCTAATCGCTCCATGATTGATTTTCAAAGGGCTGCACAAGATTGGTGGCAAATGACACACACTATCATCATGTGCTGTTACTGTCAAACCTAAATGATTATCGGGTTTGAGGAGGACATGCTTTATAAAATAAAAACTACTACCAAGAGCTACAGTCCACTGAAGCTCCATACACAGAAGAAAGCATCTATAGTTTGAATACAATGTGGCTAGAATATGTTGGTTCAACATACTTGATGTATTTTTTGTGTCTTAATTTGTGCTTTTAAGCTTGTCAAAGAGCTATTATTCATTCACACTCTTCACATTCGGAGATGGTCAATTCCGCAAGCAGAAGCCATATTTCCCCTGGCACTAACCAGAGATGTGGCTGTTTTACTATTCTGGGGGAAGTTTATAATTTGCAGCAGTTGTGATATTTGTTGTTTGTAATATCAAATCTTCTCCCTGTCAAGCATACTTTTTAAAACTTGGCTTTTTTTTCTTTTAAATCTTTTTTTTTACTTTTTCTTTACAAAATGTCACTTGACTGATGTAAATCTATATTTACTACAGATACTATCCCACCAAATGAAGTAATAATTGAAACCTGTCATATGTACAAAAAAGTAAATTGTTTAATTTCATTCTCTACTAACTCCTATTTTGTTTTGTCTGTTCTCACAGGCTAAAAGGCAGCAGCAGCTGGAGATGGAGAGAGCAAAGCTAGAGGAGCAGAAGAGGCGAGAGGAGGCGCGGCAGAGGGCTGAGCTAGCCCGACTGCAGCAACTGGAGGCCTGCAGACGCCAACAGGAGGCAGAGCTTCACCGAGTGGAGGTGGAGAAGGAGCGGGCACTAGAGCTTCAACGCCGTGAAAAGGAACTAAGGGAGAAACTACTGTGTAACCTGCTCAAGAAAAGCAGTGGTAAAAAGTCTCCGGATAGTCAGGAGCAGGCTGTACCGGAGGCGAGTGGAGCTGATGACTTGATATTGGGCGTCTTAAGCAGGGTTAATGGGATAAAACCAGAGAAACCAGTTGTGGTGCAAAATGTAGAGGTAAAGAGAGAAAGCGGTGGTGAAGATCACAATAAAAATGAAGCAATGAGGAGTAGACATAGCAAAGAAAATGCAAAAGTTTCAGAGCATCCGCACAGAAGTTCAAGCCCTTATAACCGAGGCAGGAGGAGAAGGAGCCACAGTCGCCACGGCAGTCGGAGGAGGAGTTCCAGTCGCCATGACAGCAGCAGCAGGAGGAGGGGTTCCAGTCGCCACGGCAGCAGCGACAGGAGGAGGAGTTCCAGTCACCACGGCAGCAGTAGGAGACGAGAGAGCAGCTACACAAGGAGGAAGGGAAGGAGCCATAGCAGCAGCTCCAGTCGAGACAGGAGCAGGAGTAGCAGTGGAGGGAGGGGCCACAGGGGGCATGGTGGGAGGGGCTATAGGCGAGGTCGCCGTGGATATAGCAGGAGCAGGTCTCGAAGCTCCTCCCACAGCAAATATAGTGCGCGATACAGAAGGCGCAGCAGAGACAGGAGCCATTCAAAAAGAACATAGACTAAAAGTTTGACAGTGTAATGAGACTGTAAAGATAGAATGGTGCTTTCAAAAATATGTTGCACAAAAAGCTTGAATTTCAAAAAAGAGACACTGAACAGAGTATGCCATGAATGTGAAATTCAGTGGTATTTGTTTTATTGGACTATTTTTATGTTTACTTCATATTTTCTGGGAGTTTTAGGCTGTTCTCATTTCACATTTTTGCATTATTGTTCAAAACCAAAACAGGAAATGCAAATACACAGTACATTGAACTTGAACTCATACTGGCCAACTAACTTAAGATTTTAACATACAGTTTACTCTTTATTTTATTCAAAGGGCATTGTCAATCCTGAATGTCTTATTACACTATAATGAATTAAATGTATTGAGCATCACCTGACTGTATTATAACGACTGTCAGTCAGGTGCTTGAATATAACAAGTAAGGACAAACATGAATAGAACAAACAAATATTACACTTCCCACTGACCATAGGACACGTACTGTACCTTTATGTTGTGATTGAAAATGCCTTGTTAAGATTAAGGTGTCTTAAACACTTGGTTTGGCATTATTATTGGCTTTTTGTGAGTTGTTGCATGTTCAGCATCTGTGACATCTGTCAAATAAAACTGGTTCTGGAGAAAAAAAGCAACCTTTACTCTTGATTTTTTTTTTGCTTTTTATTGTGCATTATGGAAGTTTTCTCCCTGCTTGTCTCTGGGAAGATGTTTTGCTTTATCTGTAGTGTTTGAGTATGTAAATGCTTATTTTTATTGCTAATTAATACTTTACTTGGTGGTGTCACGTACCTATCTCCATGGAGATTCCTAAATTTGATGCCTTTTTGTGGAACATTCCAGGCAAAACATCTCCATAGAGAAATAGTCCTTTCTTAAATATTTAAATTTACTTAACTTAAATGGTGCCTCTTTAAATACTTAAAGATTTACTCATCTTAACCGCCTTAATTTATTCCAAGTAGAAGTGTTTGAAATTGAATGTTTGTCCATTAGTGCGTTTAATAATATATTGTAGTAAACGCAAAGTGCATTGTCAAGTCGAGTTTATTTATAAAGTACATTTAAACATCTACAACTGCACTAAGTGATGTACAAAGGGCAAGGCAATATAAAGTGCAATCTGATAAAACATACAAGACATGTAAAAACTGAAAAGCTGAAAATAATAGACAAAAGTAGTATTCAGGTCATGTTGGTACCATATGGCTAAATCTATAGGCATATCCTAACTTAGTCACCTGTTGAGTCAGCCACATTTTCCATCACCGAGACAGTCCTGTTTCAGGAATGCACAAACTCTCCAACCAAGTGTGACTGATAATGAACAAGGGTGCACTGTGGCCATATTGTTTCTTTGTGTGGTGCCGTCTGAGCCCCTGTCCTAATCTGGGATATCTGACTGTAATCTTCTTAGCCCACTGCTACTCTCACTGTTTTTTAAGGGGGTGTGCAGTATGGTTTTGACTGGCTGTATTATAGTTTTGCTTGGTCATTCATAAATGCTCTACAGACACAGGTGAACCACTTGGGATTTTGGTTGAGAACGAGGATATGGCTGAAGACCAGGAGAGAGGATCTGATGGAGCAAAGGCTGTGGAGGTGTATCCCAGGAAAATACTGCAGTACATAGAAGGATTCCTCATTTCTAAGGTACAAGAAACACTGTAGACTGTGATAGGAGATACTTTATTGGAGTGTAAATATTGTTTATACATTATCAGATTATAGCCTATCTATCCCCTATTTTATTTTGGCCACATTTGGAATATCTCCTCACTATTTAGCTACAATATTTAAGACTATAGTAAAAAAAAAAAAAAAAGAGACTATGATTTTGCAATAGTTACACTGGGTCTAACTGATAAAGTAGATAAGTAATTAAGAAAATGCTTGGTCACAGCTCTTTGCATTTAAATGCACATAATGCACAAATCCATCTCTCAAAGATTATGCAGTTCTCTGCTCTGTCTCAGACAGTGTTCACGGCCTGTGAGTTGGGAGTGTTTGACATGTTACATGAGGCACAGCGCCCCTTGTCGGCGGAGGAGCTCTCTGCAGCACTCGGAGCCAGTGTGGACGGGATGGAGAGACTGTTGGCTGCGTGCACAGGGCTCGAGCTACTCACAACACACCAGGAAAATGAACGGGGTGAGCTAGTGCACCAAAATGTAAATGCATTAAAATTGTTTTTATTTTTTTATTTTACAGAACATTAAAATTCTAGCCTTTTTCAAATTCACCTTTTCTCACTCTTGGCAAACATGGAAAGCAATATTAATTGTTTTGTATGTAACTTCTGTAGAGATGATCTTCTGTTCAAATTTCGGAGACGCTTGAGGCTAACTTTAATATTTATACCATTAAAGCACTTACCCAGGACTTCTTAAAATAGCTCTCTTTGAAGTAGCTCTATGTAGTTCACTAAAGTCAGCGTGTGATTTCTGTACGCTCTCTCTGACTCAGTGAAATGGAAAAGCGACTCACCGTTTCTCAGTGGATTTAAAATATTCTGCTTTGTGAGGAACTATGGACATGCTGCTTGGATGAACCAACCACCAGTTGCTATAGATTTTGTCTCTCCCGAAGATTAAATAGCAAGACAAAACACTCAGTTACAGAACTATAATGTGTGTGTGTGTGTGTTTTAACTCAAATTTGATTTAGTTAGCCAATGTTTAATTGGTTTAATTCAGGTTTTTGGTGTGAATCTGGTTTTGATTGCAATAATGATAATTATTACAACATAAATTATTGATATTATATTTGGTTTGATCAACACAGTAAATTGACTAATATGATAGTATACAGAATAATGACTAATTATATGATTGGTCAATAGAATTAGATCACGAAAGATCAACATGTAACAACAACAGTAGCCTATTCTTGTAATGTTTTCAGTGCATTTTACAACATAAGACACCTTTAAACATAGTAATATTTTTCACCTTGTCTTGTTTCTTGTTTCTTGTTTCAGCACTGTACAGTAACACAGAGGAGGCCAGAGTGTACCTGACGCGCTCCAGCCCAGTGTCCTTGTATCACTCCATTCAGTACAGCTCCAAAACCATCTACCTTTGCTGGCACTACCTCACTGACGCCATCAGGTATGTTGGGCTTGGTTTTATTCTTATACTTTAAAGATGAGTAATACAACTTTTTGCCACCTACTTATCCCCATGGAGATGTAATTGTTTTGCCCATAATGTTCCATAGTGGTGTCATCTGCTTGTCTCCATGGAGAACATTCAAGGTAAAGCAATAACATCTTCATGTAAATAAGCAGCTGGTGGACACATTGCCCATCTATAACACAATATATGCAATCAAAATACATTTTTTTCTTGTTCTAATATATATTTCATCGTTGCTATTTCAGTTTTTGACCTAGAGATGTAATATAAACATGAGATATGGTATTTAAAAGCCTAAAAGTTAATTGGAGGTTGGATCCTGTTGAGTTCATTCATGGGTTAACATCAAAATTCAGCTTGAACTTCTCTGGAGATTTTACAATGTACCTTTTTAAAATAGTTAGCTTTGAACCCTCTTTGGTGTTTCCCAACTGTATTGAATCCTGCTGCCCCAAGTGACGCAGACATAAGAAGCATGATTTCCTTTTGTTTAATTGGGACACAACGTGATGCAAGGGCTTGACAGACTCGACGAGCTAAAACAGGAAATAAATAAACAGGGCACTTCAAACCAGGCCAAGGTTAATAATGCACAGAGGGATAAGAAAGAACAGAGGAAGTAAGTTTGAGGTGGAAGAGGACAGATTTTTGCCTCCAGGTGTGAAGTCTGCAACTCACGCTCAGCTTGCAAAATTTTAGAGTTTTACATCTGGGACTGACAAGCCACAAGACTGAGTGGTAAATAGTGACATTATAAAACTTGTTTTGCAAATGTGATCTTCAAAGTATATGTTATTTGTGTAAGTTAATGTCAAATATTTCTTGAACTTTCAGGGAGGGAACAAACCAGTATGAAAAGGCTTTTGGTGTCAACTCCAAAGATCTGTTTCAGGCTCTGTACAGGTAAGACAAGACATTATATTTGCAAAAAAGTAAAAAAAAAAATTTTACCCACCTGGAACATACTCACATGTCCCCAATTCAGTAATGAGGACATTACACTCACATACATTTATTGGAGTCTGATCCTAATCTTTACTATAACTAAACCCTAACCTTAACCTAAGTTTGCTCACATCTGAACTTTAAGGGTATGTTCACACTCGCACATTCATCAAATAAAAAATATGACAAAACCGTTTTGATACTAAAGAACAAACCCTATACCAATACCAACTCTGATACCATGATTAAATTGTAGTACTTTCTTTTATATTTCCGTGTGGCATTATAAATGTGTAATCCCTTAGTCATTCAGGTAGGTTCTAGTCATCCATGGGCATGTACTTGTCTATGTGCTCTTATACTTGATACTGATACAGCTGAACATCATTCTAAAGCTGTTCAGGAAAGGTTCATTTCTGTGAATGATACCTGCTCAAATGAATATCCAGTTTTAGTAATGATTAGTATCTCATTTTCAATTCTTTTGACAACCCTAATCAAATATTGAAGGATTTACCTAATTGGGACCTGATTCTTGTCCCCGTAAAGTTACAGATTTCAATCTCCACAATGTGACAAATTCCCATCCACCCAAAGACAAACGATAATGATTCTTACTTCTTGTCACTTTTTCTTCAGACAGTCAATCACCCAGTTTGTGTTTCCTTCCAAAAACGTCTTGTGGGATTAATTAGGAGGCTGGAGATGTGACACTGTGATGTCAAAAAGCTCAGGGCAAGAAAAAAGCTACAATTCACATTCACATTGTCCTTCTTTGTTTACATAGAAAAGTAATAGCTAGTCTTTCTGCTTCACCGATGGCCGGTCAGCAGTTTTTAGGGGTCACATGGCTGCAGGGTTTCACACACTGTTTGCTAATAGGTTTTGATCGCAGTCGACCCGAGGCATTGTAGTGTGGAGGGCTGTCGAAAATCTGTCAGAGCCCAAACAAAAGAGAAATGAGCCGCGAAAATGTCCTCTCATCTTGTACTTTATGTAACGTCAGATGTAAAACATAAATACATCAAGTGCAAGGGAGAGCATAGATCCATGGACGACACTGCTACAACTGAACAAACATTTACACTGCAACCATCTGGTCTATTTCTAAATATATTGCAAGACAGAGCCTATCTATGGTGTTCAGAATAATGACAAATTAGTACTGTTGCCAGAGCAATTAACAATATTCTATCTCTGAATATTCAAAAGCTGAAACCCATGATTGTGTGGAGAACTTTCTATCACTATCTGTATTTTTCCCCGCACATTTACTTTCTGATATAGCCTTTATTTAAAATTCTTCTGAGGTTGCTATGGTGGTAGTTATGGTGGCGGTTGTTATGGTGGTTGCTATGATGGTTGTCATGATGGTTTCTATGGTGGTTGTCATGGTGGTTGTTATGGTAGTTATGGTGGTTGCTATGGTGGTTGTCACGGTGGTTGTCATGGTGGTTGCTATGGTTGTTGTTATGGTTGCTAGGGGGTTGCTATGGTGTTTGTCATGGTGGTTGTTATGGTGGTTGTCATGGTGGTTGTTACAGTAGTTGCTATGGAGGTTGGCATAGTGGTTGTTGTGATGGTTGCTATGGTGGCTGTGATGGTGGTTAGGGTGGTTGTCATGGTTGTTGTTATGGTGGCTGCTATGGTGGTTGCTATGGTGGTTGTTATGGTGGTGGTTGTTATCATGGTTGATATGGTGGTTGTTATGATAGTTGTTATGGTGGTTGTCATGGTGGTTGTTACCGTGGTTGCTAAGGTCATTGTCATGGTGGTTGTTATGGTGGTAATTATGGTGGCAGCTGTTATGGTGGTTGCTTTGATGGTTGTCATGATGATTTTTATGGTGGTTGTCATGGTGGTTGTTATGGTAGTTATGGTAGTTGCTATGGGGGCTGTCACGGTGGTTGTCATGGTGGTTGTTATGGTGGTTGCTATGGTGGTAGTTATGGTGGTTGTCATGGTAGTTATGGTGGTTACTATGGTTGTTGTCATGGTGGTTTCTGTGGTGGTTGTTATGGTAGTTATGGTGGTTGCTATGGGGGTTGTCAAAGTGGTTGTCATAGTGGTTGCTATGGTTGTTGTTATGGTTGCTCTGGTGGTTGCTATGGTGGTTGTCATGGTGGTTGTTATATGGTTGTTATGGTGGTTGTCATAGTGGTTGTTACAGTGGTTGCTATGAAGGTTGTCATGGTGGTTGTTATGATGGCTGCTATGGTGGCTGTGATGGTGGTTAGGGTGGTTGTCATGATCATTCTTCTGGTGGTTGTCATGGTGGTTGTCATGACGGTTGCTATGGTGGTAGTTATGGTGGTGGTTCTTATGATGGTTGTTATGGTGGTTGCTATGGTTGTTGTTATAGTGGTGATTGTCGTGGTGGTTGCTATGGTGGTTGCTATGATTGTTGTTATAGTGGTGGTTGTCATGGTGGTTGCTATGGTGGTTGTTATGGTGGTAGTTATGGTGGTGGTTGTTATGGGGGTTGCTATGATCGTTTCTATGGTAGGTGACATCTTGGTTGTTACGGTTGTTATGGTGGTTGCTATGGTGGTTGATATGGTGGTTGTCATGGTGGTGGTTGCTATGGTAGTTTTTAGGGTGGTGATTGTTATGGTGGTTGCCATGGTGATGTTATGGTGGTTGCTATGTTGGTTGGTATGGTGGTTGTTATGTTGGTTGTTATGGTGGTTGCTATGGTTGTTGTTATAGTGGTGGTTGTCATGGTGGTTGCTATGGTGGTTGTTATGGTGGTTGCTATGGTTGTTGTTACGGTTGTTATGGTGGTTGCTATGGTGGTTGTCATGGTAGTGGTTGCTATGGTGATGTTATGGTGATTGTTATGGTGGTTGCCATGGTGATGGTATGGTGTTGCTATGGTGGTTGTTATGGTGGTTGCTATGGTGGTTGTTATGATGGCTGGTATGGTGGCTGTGATGGTGGTTGATATGGTGTTTGTCATGGTAGTGGTTGCTATGGTGGTTTTTAGGGTGGTGATTGTTATGGTGGTTGCCATGGTGATGGTATGGTGGTTGCTATGGTGGTTGGTATGGTGGTTGTCATTGTGGTTGTCATAGTGGTTGTTACAGTGGTTGCTATGGAGGGTGTTAGGGTGGTTGTTATGATGGCTGGTATGGTGGCTGTGATGGTGGTTAGGGTGGTTGTCATGGCGGTCGCTATGGTGGTTGTGATGGTGGTTGAAACCACTACAACAACCACCATAGCAACCACCATAACAACCAACTTTAACAACCACTATAGCAACCATCATGACAACCACCATAGCAACCATCATAGCAACCGTAATAAGAACCACTATAACCACCATAGAAACTACCATAACAACCCCCGCCATAACTAACACCAAATTAGCAACCACCATAACCACCATGACAACCAGGACAATCACCATAACAACCACCATGACAACCACCATGGCAACCACCATAGCAACCACCATAACCACCATGACAACCAGGACAATCACCATAACAACCACCATGACAACCACCATGGCAACCACCATAGCAACCACCATAACAACCACCGCCATAACTACCACCATAGTAACCACCATAGCAACCACCATCACAACCACAATGATAGCCACCATGACAACCACCGCCATAACTACTACCATACCAACCACCATAGCAACCACAATAACAACCACTATAGCAACTACCATCACCACGCCCACCATTGCAACCACCATTACCACCATGTCAACCATGACAGTCACCATAACAACCACCATGACAACCACCATAGCAACCATCATAACAACCAGCATAGTAAACATCATAGCAACCATAATGACAACCACTATAGCAACCAACATAACCACCATGACAACCATGACAATCACCATAACAACCACCATGACAACCACCATGACAACCACAATAGCAACCATCATAAAATTCACTATAGCAACCATCATAGCAATCATAATATAACCACCATAGCAACCACTACAACAACCACCATGAGAAATCACCATAGCAACCACCATAACAACCACCGGCATAACAACCACCATGACCTCCACCATAGCATCCATCATAACCACCATAGCAACCATTATAGCAACCACCATAGCAACCATCATAGCAACCATAATAACAACCACTATGACAACTACCATGACAACCACCATAGCAACCACTATAACAACTACCATAGCAACTACCATAACAAACACCATCATCGCAACCACCATAACAACCATGACAACCACCATAACAACCACAATAACAACCCCTGTAGCATCCACCATAACAACCACCATGTCAACCACCGTAGCAACCATCATAACAACCACCATAGCAACCATCATATCAACCATAATAACAACCACCATAGCCACCACTATAACAACCACCATGACAACAATCGCCATAACTACCACCAGAGCAACCATAATAACAATCACTATAACAACCACCATAACAACCACCATGACAACCACCATCACAACCAACATATCAACCATAATAGCAACCATAATAACAACCACTATAACAACCACCATGATCGACCATCGCAACCACCACAACAACCACAACAACCACCATAACAACCACCATCACAACCACCATAGCAACCACTATTACAACCACCACAGCAACCACTATTACAACCACCATAACAACTACCATAGCATTCACAATAGCAACCACCATTGCAACCACCATGACAACCACCATAGCAACCACCGTCATAACTATCACCATATTAACCATCATAGCAACCACTATCACAACCACCATCACAACAATCGCCATAACTACCACCAGAGCAACCATAATAACAATCACTATAACAACCACCATAACAACCACCATGACAACCACCATCACAACCAACATATCAACCATAATAGCAACCATAATAACAACCACTATAACAACCACCATGATCGACCATCGCAACCACCACAACAACCACAACAACCACCATAACAACCACCATCACAACCACCATAGCAACCACTATTACAACCACCACAGCAACCACTACAACCACCATAACAACTACCATAGCATTCACAATAGCAACCACCATTGCAACCACCATGACAGCCACCATAGCAACCACCATAACTACCATGACAACCAAGACAACCACCATAACAGTGACCATAACAACCACCATCATAACCACTATTGCATCAACCATAGCAACCATCAAAAAACCACCATAGCAACCATCATAGCAACCATAATAACAACCACCATAGCAACCACCATAGGGTCAATCCACCTCAGTACACCCAATTAGTTAAACCCTACCTGTTAAATTTTGTATGTAGGTAAATCATGGCTAGAAAAGATATCACAATTTCATTTTTTCACTTTTTTGCGTGGTCGGTGACCATGCAAAAAAGATAAGTGGGGACACAGTGGCTCATTGATTAGAACATCCCCACTGAAAATTAATACTCTCATTGTGTTCTTGGGCACGGCATTTTGCCCACGTCACCTCCAGTATAGGCTGGTGATTGAATATGTGTCTGTGAGAGTAAGAGCAGGACATCAAATGTAGATTTGCATTGTTTACTGCATGTAGCTCATGTATATTCATTTACATAAACTGTCCCGAGCAAATAACAAGGAATAATGTCCTCTTTCCCTCCTTCCATAAATGTGCTCTTTCCTTCTCTATATTCGTTTAAAAGAAAAATACTGGAAAAGTTATTCTTGATTGCTGCATAAACATATTTAAATCATGTTTATAAGGTATTGTAATGTAATTCTTGCTGTACAAATCCTGCTTGTATTCAGTTTACAGTGCAGCCCGTACATGCCCAGACTGAACAGTTACTCTCTCACTCAAATTAATTTGCAATTCAGCTTTAATTGATTGAGAATGAGGAGCCTCCACACCTGCTCAATTGACTGAATGTGGAGTGGGGCTTGTTTACGGTGCTCATTTCCCCTGTGAATACTGTGGGTATATTATCCAAGTGGGGAACAACCTCTCGGAGCGGCAGGAAGAACGGATTCAAAAGGATGACTCACTGCACTATTTACTCCTCAGTTTAGCCTGCCTTGTGTTGCACCTGAATAATTTAAAATCTCAAGATCCCAGAGTCAAGAACTGACAAAGGATGTGTCAAAGGATGAGTCACTGCAGTTGGAAAAGATGGCGTTTTGAAAGTCAAATGTGGTTTTATTGGTTCTATCCAGAGCAATTGATGTGATTTCACCAGTGATACTTGTACAGAAATGTAAAGGGTCTACGATTCTATTTTCTGATCTGTGTTTCCTGGAGTTTTCGTTTTTTTCCCCCACACATATATAACAGAGATCCTGCATATTTAGACTAGGTTGTAGGTGTTTTTAAACTCCATACACCTTCACTAGAATCATGTGGATAATTTTAGCCCTGGAATTGCCAATCTCCACTGAACAAAAGGTAGAAAGACTACTACCACTTCATGACATCATAAGGTGGAACAGAACATTTTGAGGTATGAGGATGTAGACAGTAACATAAAGGGTTACTCAAGCATGTGTGAATGAAACAAAACACAACTCCAGATATGTTTTTGAGGAGGTAACAACATTTCAACATGGTTAAACACTCACAAAAAATATAAATTTGAGGACCACTTTTGATAAAATATAAAATGGTACCATGGCATTTGCACTCCTCACAGTGTTTCTCATATCACACATTTTAAGCTTTTAAAAATGAAATCTGAAATCGAATCTTTTTGTATAAACTAACATCGGTCCCAACAACCATGTTCTGATACTTGTACAGATCATTTTCAGTACCAACCAATCAAAGCAATTGGATATATGGAAAGGATTTCACTAGGTCTTCTATACCCTTGCAACATGTTATGTAACTGAAATATATTTGATAAAATTGATGATTTTTGATTTGATTGTATTCACTGTTTGGAAGAAAAAACTTACAAGTTCCTTCAGTCTGCCTCCTCCTAGATATCAGGCCATTATAATGCAAAACACCACAGCTGTTAAAGGCCTATTTGGTTTCATGATTCACAAACATTGAAGATTGATGTTGACGGAGCGTGTTTAGGCCCAGACATCAGCAGATTATTTCCCAGCAGAAGTGGAGCTGAAGTGATGTACAGTGAGCCACTTTGGGACCTGTCTCTCCTCTCACTCCTCTGCCACAGACGCTTGATCAGTTCACTTTACCCATGTTTGGACCACTAAAGCTGTGTGCGAGCGTGTGTGTGTGTGTGTGTGTGTGTGTGTGCGTGCATGCATGTTTACCAAGTTGTGTGAGGATTGAATCTGATCAGAAAGTCAATAATGGGCACAGATTTTCCTTGACATCAACACCATGTTTTAGATTTTAGAAACTAAAACTATAGGGTAACGCTAGTTGTACTGGTTGTACTGAAAATGCATGTAGGCCTAGATAATATATTACACACGTGGTCATGCGTTATACTTTTGTACAAGTAACTTTTCCATTAGTGTCCTGAAGTCAGAGAGATGTTATTACTTTGCCAGGAATGTTCCACAAAAAGATATTTAACTAAAATATGTTTTTGAAAAAAACAAGTATTTTTACTGTGAGTGAGGTCGCCTCTCCACAAACTTGGCCCGTAACTTGGTCTAGTGGTGTCTCCTGCTTGGAGATGTTTTCACTGAGATAGATACATTTAATGCTGTATTGTGGAATATTCTAAGTAAAGCAATAACATCACCATGGAGACAGGTGGAAGACTCTCCACCAGAAATATTACACAGTGTGCTCATAATTAAACATCTTCAATATTCTAGCCCCCGTATTTCATTTGAACTCGCCCCATCTATATTTATGTATTTTAAACTTTTCTTACATTTTATTGTGCATGAAAACTGACTTACTGTTGCATGTGGCCAGGTCCGATGAAGAGATGGTCAAGTTCATGCAGTTAATGAACTCCATTTGGAACATCTGCGGCAAAGATGTCGTCATGGCCTTTGACCTCTCACCTTTTAAGGTCATCTGCGACCTCGGAGGTAAGTCACTTCTGTTTGTCTTTGCTCATCATATCACCTGTCTCATTTGCATAGGACCCTGGGTCCACACTCATTAACATTTATGAACATGGTATAATTGTGTTCATCAGGAGACAGCTGGTGAAGACCACACACTTCATACACTGTATGTGCATAAAGACAGACAACTCAGCATTAGACCGACTAAGCACATTTCATAGTCTAAAAAGTACTTAAAAGTCACCTCCCGTCACTCTTACTCTACATGCTTTACAAAACTGGGAAATCCTGGGAGGAAATGAATGGGTAACAAGCCTTCAAGAGGATTTTGAAATAACACTAAAACATTTTAGAGCCACTCCCTCAAAAAAGTCAATACACAATACACACAGCCCCCAGAAGATTTTGGGCTTGCTTGTTCTGAAGATACCCACAGACACATTTCCCTAAATTAACAAAAACATTTTTAAATTAAAGTATGTTGTGTGCCAGTATGTATTTCAGTGTTGCCTAATTGCAAATGAAAGAGATTTGAGGTTTGTCCTAATTGTCAGAATAGAAAAACAAAGCATTTGAACACAGCACTGTGAGTGTTTTTGAGTCTTTTGTCTGTGGTTAGACTTGAATGGCCCCACTGAGATTGGCTGCACTATCCAGCAGGTCTGTCAAAACTGTTGTTCAACTCAGCTTCTCACCAGATAATGGGGATCTAACCATTTTAGACACAGCAAGAGACATAGCACTTTTAGAGCATCACTTTCTTGTTTTTCATTTCCATTTTTCTTTGTTTTACCATCAGAAAGCACTGACTCTTACTTTCATTTGTGTTTCACCTTAGCTGAATATGAATGTCTGTCACAGGTTTGAGCTTAAAAAGATTTCTTACATCATTAGCGCTTATGTGACTTCAGCTGAAATGTTTTTCAAAGTATGATGTAGATTTTTCTTTTACTTTGGTACATTCCATTTGATGATTTTTGGGTGAACAATATATATTAGTAATATAGACAATGAGCCTGAACTTGAAATAAATAAAAACATATCATGACTGATCACACATAAACATAGCAGTGATATTGCTTGGTTTTATCTTCGCTGAACTGAAGTCTGTCCATACCTTATTACCTGCAGTGTGACACTCCAGCTGTCCACAGGAGGGTGCTGTGAAGCCATTAAACCCCTGCCATCCTGTCTTTGCTCACACGTGGCTGCAGACACAGGAGGAGGTGCACTGTGATCCCTGTGCTCCCTGTGTGCTCCCGTGCACACACTCATGTTTATGTATCAGTGTAGATCACTGTGGGTTTCCTAAACTGTGCGTGTGGCTGCAGGGGTGTGAAGGGCGTGAGCTGCTGTCCTCCACGGGTCCCACCAGGAGCCTCTGCAGCGTCTGTTGTGTCTGTGTCACCTGCTGCCCATCATCTGTCCATCCAACTTTCATGTCCATGTGTACATGGGTGTAAGACATTAGTTGCTTATTAAAATTTAATCACAAGGTAGAGCAGCAACATTCAAGGTAAACTGAAACTTATCGGTTGATAGACTTGAATCTGCATCTCAGAACCTTTTGACAGCACAAGGTTAGTTAGAATTCCACCACATGCATAAAAATACGATGATGTGACCTTTTGGATTTTACTGAATGTAAAGGTGCCTTATGTACTTTTTTCTGAAGGAGGGTTGTCATCATTTTGTCTGTGAGCTCCATGTAGGGTCACTTCTCCACAGATCTGACCTGTAACTTGGCCTGGTGATGTCAGTTACCTCCTTGAACATGGATTTGTATAATGTCATACTGTGGAACATTTCAGGCAAATCAGTGACAGAGATAAGCAGGTGCACCTTCTACCAGAAAAGTTACATAATACAACTTACAGACAATTAAGTACACATATATTAGGCTAAAAATAGCTTGTGGGAGACTAGCCTTATAGTATATAGCCTTAAATCAGACTTATTTTATCTCTATTTGTTGGAAACAACTCAAAATAATTTAATGGAAAATTTTAAAATACTGAAAAAACATTTCAGATTTATAGATTTATAAAGTAAGACTGACTGGAAATGATTTCTTTTACAAATTAAGAGTTGCTGAATCTGTTTGGCTCCAGGGTGGGTCCAGGAGTGAGTGCACCCGGGACAATTGCATAATACTGACACTTCCATAAAAAATAACACAAAATGTCAGCATTATGCAATTAAGAAATATGTCAATATTTGTTGGGGCAGACTGATAATATTAGCGCATTGCAGGCATCCTAAGAGCCCACAGTATTCGAACAGCAGGTCTGTCTTACCCATATCATGCCTCTTGATTCCACATGGGTGCTTTCCTATCAGTCCAGTCCTCCTCACACACTCTGCTGCTATTATTATCTGTCACTTTCTTCTATCTTTTGCTCTTTAAAATTCTCAGTTTATGAAGCATGAAAAATGATAATGATGCTGGCAAAGTATCTTGATGAAAGTGTCATTTTTCATATTACGCCGAGCCTCTAGTGTTTGCATGTACAGCTTGTTCCTGTGTTGCTAGTTTTTTCTAGCTCAATTCACAGCTTTGACCTCTGCCGCACAGCATGGGGTCTTCCAGGTAGCAGCAAGTGTTGTGAATAAAACAATAGTTACGAAAAGCTTTGGAAGTCACACTCATGACCAGGTCTAATGGATTCAAACTGTGAATGAGTGTATTGGTAAGATTCCTGGAACGTAAGATTGAATATTTATGAATGAAGTGGGTTAGTGTCACTCAAAATTTGCTTCAATTAAAAATATGCATGAGCATGAATGTTAGATGAAGCAAATTCCCTAAGGCAGCACAGTTAAATCATATCTTACAAATAATTAGAATGCATTTTTGTACTTTTAAATCACTAACACTAGGTAAGTATTCAGTTGAATAATTAGCATCAAGCTGACAATGTGTTTGTTATTTTATATTTTATAAACTTTACTTTCAAAATTGAAGTAATAGTAGCAACAGCAGCAGCAGCAGCAAATAATGTCAAACAGAAGAGGGAGTAGCTGTGTGTGCTTGTATTTATGTCAAGAATTTTGATAAAAGGTTTAAGAGATTGAAAAAAAATGAAAACAAACAAACAAACAAAAAAACAAACAAACAAAAAATAATAATAACTAAAAAATACTTAATGCTTAAAGAGGGACAATTGAGATTTGGTTAGATTCAAATTTGAGAGAAGTTAGACAGACCAGAACAGTCTATTCCTCCAAAAGCATAATCATTTGAGATAATTAAATCATAAATCTATTTGCAGATGGCTTTTTATGTGTAATGCATTATTAGAGTTGATGTAATAATTCATATTCATTTCAGCTCGTCAAGAAAAAAAGTTTGGGTTCCCCTGACAGTTTTGCCTTTATAATATGTATCATGCTCTGTAGAATGACTGGCTGTACGTCAGTGCCCTCTTGGTTTAGTAATGAAGCCGATCAGTATTCATTGTGCACTAACTACACTGTAAGTAATCCTTTCCTCTGTGTGTTTTTGTCCCTCCAGGCTGCAGCGGCGCATTAGCCAAGCACTGCACGTCTGCCTACCCACAATGCACTGTGACGATCTTTGACCTCCCCAAGGTGGTACACACGTCAAGGGAACACTTTGTCACCGGTGCCCACAGCAGGATAGGGTTTCATGAAGGTAGAGTGTTCTTAATCAGGGTGTAAAACTGAAATTTGAAGGCATTGTCAGTCATCTTGGATTGACAAGTGCTAATGTAAACATAGATGCTATAGGCCAGACTTGTTAATGCATTTATTCCACTCTCTCCACCTGTGTAAGGGCAAAGCTTATTAGTCTGTCAAACCTGATATGCATCTTCTCATACACATAACATTGTCCTATAGTTAAATCAGTACAAGTGGGAACTGGTTCGATACTTTGAAAAGTGTCAAAGTGTTCTAATCCTGTAGTTTACATCTGTACAAACATGTTCAGAAATGTGAGTAATTAGTCAGTTCTTCTAGATGTGTTTAAAGGTGCACTGTGTGGATGTCACCTTTTTGTTTCTATGGATATTGCTCTGCTTAGAATGTTTCACAATATGACAGCTCTAACTTACATTTTTTCAGTTACAGGTGGTTTTATTGCTCAAAAATACCTAGAAAAACAGGCATTCTAACTGTGAGTGGGGATTCCTCTCCACAGATCTGACTTGTAATGTGGTCTGGTTTGAGCTCCATGAAGATAGAAAGTTTTAATGCCATACTGTGAAACATTCCAGTCAAAGCAATAACATCTCCATGAAGTAAAGCATTTGACAGACCCTCTACCAGAAAAGTTACACAATGCACCTTTAAATTGAACTTTGAACAATTCTGTTACTAAAAAATAAATTGCAAATCTGAATGCAATGTGTATCATTCATCATAGCATTCAAATTAGTCATATTTTATACTATACAATATCCAAGTCTAGTTTGTAAGGGGGAACAATGTTACTTATAATACTGGTGGAGGCAATTAAAGGTTTCTATCTGAGAAATTGTACTTCAATTCAATAAAAAGGAGTAAGAATCAAACACAAAGGACATATTTTCGTCCAGGAACAAAATCATAATTTGGTGTACTAAACAATAAAATAAAATAATCCTTGTAAATAATTCAGTTGCAGCACCCACTTGTGGATGAAAGAACGCAACCAAATGTTTTTTGTTTCTGTAAGTGGATTTGTGCTGCCCATTACAACACAATGACCTATATAAAGGCGAAAACATGCTCCTTGCATTGCTTGGCCTTTGTTTGACCCTGTTATGTTGCTGAGCTCTGATGCATGCCATTTTCAGGGTGCATTACACCGGCCTTGTTTACTGTCTTTCAGCTGTCTTCTTTAGTCTCAAAATGACACAGTGCATCCATTAAGATACATGAATATACAGCACAGATAACAGTGGCTGGTATAAACTGAACATCCACCTGTGCTCCCATTTGTAATCCTTTGCTGTTCTTTTGGACCTGTTTATTTACCCATTTCTGTCATAGGCTGATAATGGCAGGCTGCAGTGTTAGGTTAGATAAGACCAAGCCAAATTACACACAGGAACATGGGGCTGTATGCTTTTCCCTGCCATAAGTACAGCACAGTTGAATGGTAGAAAGCATCTGGATACAGGCTCAGCTCACATAGATTTCACATAATTGAATAGCCATAGACAAACCCAGGTAGTAATCAGGTTTGGCTTTGTTATGCAGTAATAGAATAAAGAAATATTTGTTACACGCCATGGTTGGTGTAATATGTAGTAGTAATAGTAGTAATAGTAGTAGTAGTAATAGTAGTAGTAGTAGTAGTAGCAGTAGTAGTAGCAGTAGTAGTAGTTGAGTAGTTGTTGTTATTGTAAAAATAGCATAATAACCTTTATTGGATGGGTGGATTACAGTGTTGTAACAATAAAGTAAAAGAGAGAAGCAAAACTGAAAAGACTTTAAAAGCTCAAATTGAAATTAAAAATACTCTAAAACTAGATAAACAATTTTACCAAAGACAGACAAATCAATATCCAGTTTGATCAAGATAAAAAAGAGAACAATTAGGTAATTTTTGTAAATTATGCTTTCTTTTACTTTATTTTTTGAAAAGCCAGTGAATTAAAAATATCTTACATCAATTTTCTGTGCAATTTAACTGTTTTATTGTATATTTAATTGTGAATAATGATTTGTGTGTTGATTTTACAGGTGATTTTTTCAAAGACCCCATCCCCAAAGCAGACCTCTACATCTTAGCCCGAATCCTCCATGACTGGACTGACCAGTGCTGCGTGGAGCTTCTCTCTCGAGTGTACAAGGCCTGCAATCCAGGTCTGTGTTGATCTGAGTGTGAAAAAAGGAGGAAAATATGAGTTTCTTCGGCTTGAAACGACAGAGCAGATTGAATCCCACAATGCATCTCATCCTCGAAAATCTGTCCATCTGACTTTGATCAAGGACACAAGCAATGACTCAGGAGATGAGTTCCCCAGACATCTGTGTCTGTCTCATAATAAAACAGGGAAATTAATGGAAAAGTCCTAATTAAAACAGGGCAAAACCAGACAAATAATAATAACACAATACATTTTGTTTCAAGATCTAGATCAAGACAAATGGCTAAATATATAATAACAATATTAGAGCCTGTTCTATTTATTTCAGTCATATTCACTTTACACTTCACATTGACTTCACATTGGCTTTAATTTACACTTCATATTGACTTATTATATCTATGTATTGTATCAGCTTGCCACTCACTTAAGGCAGAGGCTGATCAATAGAAGGTTTGGGCGGGGCTCATTGGACAGCATGTGTCTTTGAGTTAGTGTTGTCACCATACTAAAGTTTCAAACTCGATTCTGATAAGTAATAGACTTGATAATCAGTCCTGATTCCGATATCATAATGATAATTAAAAGCGCTCTTTCTTTAGACAATATAATATAAGTTTCAATATTAAACAATTGCACTTTCTTTTATTTAACCATGCAGTAATCCCTCTGTCATCTTATTAGTCTGTATCTCTCTGTCATTAGTCTACACTTCTCATACAACTCAAAATCATTCTAGAGCTATTCAGGTTCAATTGTTTTGTGAATGCAACTTTTTTGGTATTGATACTTAAATGAGTATCTAGTTTTGATACCAGATAGTATCGATTAGTATCTTAATTTCATTACTTTTAACAACCTTACGTTGATCTTAGACTTGCTGTATTGTTATGTCCTGTAGGTGGCGCAGTGTTGCTGGTGGAGGCCCTGCTCTTTGAAGACGGTTCAGGCCCCCTTACTGCTCAGCTCTACTCTCTGAACATGCTGGTGCAGACTGAGGGGAGGGAGAGGACAGCTGCCCAGTACTCTGCCCTCCTCACAGCCGCTGGATTCACTTCTGTGCAGCATCGCTTCACCGGAAAGACCTACGACTCTGTCCTGGGACGCAAACAGACAAGAGACTGATTCATGAGGGCACGCTCAAGGTAATGAGCTTGTGAGTCCACCAAGGTCAGACAAATACACTTCAATTGTACACCAATAAGGCGTAATTATACTGTGATTAAATTATTGTCTTTATTGGGGTGGCTGTTGAAAGTGCATTACGTAACTGCATTTTTGGTGCTTTTCTGTATGGAGATGCAATTGTTTTGAATAGAAGGTTCCACAGTAGGGCATTAAACATACTTATTTCTATGGTGACAAGCAGGTAAGAATGTTTTAAGGTACTTTTGTGCAATAAAATCACGTGTATTTAAATAAATGCAACATACATCGTTTAATGACATACTGTGGAACATTTCAGGCAAAGCAATAACTATGGAGAGAAGCAGCTGGTGGATCCTCTATCAGAAATTTGGTAGACAGTAAACATATTGTACACAAATTAAGTGCAAGAGTATTGTGGCAATTAGTGATGGCTTAACAAAAGTAATTCTAACAAACACCGGCATGCTAACGGTGCACTCAGTTTATTGTCGGATGATAAAATCCTTTATAATTAGATACTGATAGCACATGATGGGTTTTTTTCTACTATAGGACCTGCATATACAGCACATCTGTAAGACAAGTTTTGCTCAACTACTGTATATGGAAAATTATTGGAATTGAACCACATGAATGAGAAGAGCAGGCAGGTCACCATGAAGTATAACCTCACTGCACACTTAACCACATAGTGTACTCAATTTCTTATTTGATAAGTCTGATAGAGAAATTGCACTACTTTGTATCAAGGATTCCTTCAGCTCAGTTATTTGGCCTATATTAGAATGGAGACATAGCCAGACTAATGGACACAACTGCCACAGTGTGCTGAGTGTTCATGTCTCTGGTTCCTCCTGCTTCTTTTACCTCTTTGGCTACTTCAATTATTCTATAAAAATAGTAAAAAATTATTTGATAATAATGACTTGTTAATAGCATTCACATATTCAGACAACAGTGTGCACATACATTGGACCCCAGTGGACTGAAGTGTCTTTTCTAAGGCCACAATCACATTGGGAATTGAACCATCATCTTCTGATGCTTAAAGTGCCTTGCCACTCTTCATCTTTAAAGGTCCATATTATGCTATTTTCTGTAATGTTGTTTCCTCATCAAAAACATATTGTTTAACACACAAAATGTGTAAATTTAGTCTGTGTTTTTCTCTCAAACAGAAAACACTCTGTTTACCATTGTGATGTCATTTGGTGATACAGGAAGTGTTCCACTGTGTTTTTAAACTTCAGCCCTGGTATTGCCTATCTCTACAGAACTAAAGCTAAAAGATAAATTGAAAACTCTCACTACAGAACGTCAGAAGATGGAAGAGAACATTTTGAGCTTTGGAGATGAAGACATGCAAAAGTCTAATAATGCAGGGTTATTCAAATATGTGTAAATAAAATAAAACATAATTCTGGGTATGTTTTAACATGGCTTAAAGCTCAATTTTGTGTAATATAGGACCTTTAAATACATGGACATTCAAATTCATCTATATATTTCCACAGGTGGATATCTATCTACAATTTCCAAGTGAATTTAAATGACTTGGCCTGGACTGTAAGGGTTAGTCTGTATCATTGTGGTTTTTCATATAGTGGACCTTCTTCATATCTTTGTCATTATGTTCTCCTAATCCCCGTGTATGGACTCGCCCCTCGGACTGCCCAGTAAATCCTCTTTCTACCTTATTCTGTGTAATGATAGATGGACTCAATAAATGGCTTTACACAATGGCACTGCTCCATCTTTTATTCCTGTCATATCTCCTTGTATTCAGACTGAGAATCCTCCTTTTGTGAGGGCTATTTCTGGGGTTCTTCTGATGAGAAATGCTGCTTTTATGAGACTCTGAATCATAGCAAGTGATTGTGTAATGTAATCAGAGGTGCAATATGTACTCAGATCTGGACTCAAAAAGTACTTATCAGTTAAATCTAGGAACACTCGACAAAATTGATACTAAAGTGAATTTTGTCTCCTTTAATCATCTGTTATGAAATTTGAGGATGGCTGGAAGTTCATAGCTGAAATGTCAAAGTAAAGAACATCTCATGTAATTCCTCTAACTTGAGTAAAACACTCTGCTAACATGTTTGTAATGTAACTCTCTAGCTCTTATTTTATTTTATTTTTATTATTTTATTAACACTTAAAAATAAGTAAGTCCCCATTTATATAGCACTTTTCACAGACATTTTTGTCACAAAGACACTTTACAGAGCATTACATTCAGCATATATTATTCTTTCACTCTATACCTGGTGATGGTAAGCTACTGTTGTAGCCACAGCTGCCCTGGGGCAGACTGACAGAGGCGTGGCTGCCATACCAATCGGCGCCAACGGTCCCTCCGACTACCACCATCACTCACGCACACACCACTTTCATACTGGGCAATGTGGGTGAAGTGTCTAGCCACTAGCACCAGCAACCTGGTCAGGTTCATTGAATGATTGTATTTAATTGACCTTGACTATTAACTGTTCTTGGAGACCTATGTAGCATGTTTTGGGTTAATGGGGGAAACCGGAGCGCTCGGTGGAAACCCATCCATGCACAGGGAGAAACATGCAAACTCCACACAGAAAGGCCCAGGCGACCCAAGGGATCAAACCCGGAACCTTTTTGCTGTGAGGCATGAGTGCTAGCCACTCAGCCACTGTGCCGCCAATAAATACACCTTAATTAGCCTTCATGAAGCATGAGCAAAGATATAATTAGACTTAGTAGCTCACAAATCACATCACATCAATAAATATAATTATAAGGCTCAAAAATATTAATGATAATAATAAATTCAAAATAAGCAAAAATAGCAGCAGACATGTGTCATAATTATACACATCTATAAGTAAGTATTCAGTATTTATTAACCCTGGTTCAAGGTTAGGATATTAATTAAGCAGTTTCTAAACCTGAATATTTCTTAAACTATTTGTTCATTATGGATTAAGTCTTTGTTCATGCTTTATTAACCCCAATTAAGGTGTATTTAATGATGAAATATGCTAAAAGAAGACATGCTTAGTTCTCAGTCTCAAAACAGCTTGTTGAGTCTTTTCTGTTCACTTGACTGTCTCTACTCTCCCCCTCCCCCTCCCTTTCTGTCTTTTACTCATTGTAATTGTGAATTAATCAGACTTCAAAGTGCAATAAATGAGAATTGATGTCAAATCCTTGTGGAGTGTTTTACAAAGAGCTGGACTAATGAGGGAAATGAAGAGCAGAGGCAGGAGGCAGACCCCAGCCCTGAGCACTGACACAGCATGGGCTTTGGTAACAAGAGTGTCATTGTTTGATTAGTGATCAAAACAAGCACTCAACCCAAACAGAAGTCAGTGCTAGTACTTTTCATAGATACATTCATACAAAATACAAGTTAAATTATGCATCTATCCTTTCAAATGGTACAGTAACTGTTCTACACAACACACAAATTGTTATCAAGAATATTTATTTGTATATTTGGTTTTGTTTCCTGAGGGTTCTCTATAAAAATACCAAAAACAAATTGAGTATTTTATTTGCAATTGCAAAATAAGAAAAAAGTATAGGATTCTTTTCAAAGTGCACTTTTTAACCACAGGGAGCATTAAGATTTGAAAGAAGACAAACTGAATGCATTTTAGAACATACTTGTAGAGGTCAAAACAGGTACAAGATTTTTCTATAAAAAGCAGAATATTTTGTTCTTTGCAGAGGACATTCTATTATCTACATAACTGAAGCTTTTGTAATTAATTTAATAATTGTGATTTTATTTCGTTTGCTATATTTTGTGCAGTCCTAGTCCCGTTAAGGTCATACTAGTGTCAATACAGCAAAACATTTCTATAACTTAATATAAAGAGTCCATTTGCAAAAATCGCTATCTGAAAAAGTCATCGGAAGCTTGTAGTTTACTCTTAGTGCAATAATATTTTCAAAGGCCAAATCAATTTTACTGCTTTCAAAATATAATGATATCCCTTCTTGATAAAATCCACTATACATTATTGCCATTGCCAAATATGGTAATAAAAAGAACAAACATTTTTAGCAATTTTTCAGAACAGGAGATATCTGTTTTTGTTGTTGGACTCTTCATATTTTTTCATAGTTCAATCATCTTGTTGCATGACAGTTTTGTACTTTATTTAATACTTTCAAAATAAAGTTCCCAAAAAAGCTAAGCCAACCCCGTGTGAATCAGGCCAGCAGGAGATGAGTTTTAACATTTTCACTTCTGAAGCTTTTACCCTAAGGAGAGAGAGCACACTTTTCTGTAGAATTTAAATAAACTTCACTTTCCCAGCAGTGGAAATTCAGCAGTGATTTCTGAGCTTCTACTCAAGTACTTTGTGTGTGATTCGTCAATGATTTAGACTCAGGTCAATGTTTTTCGCACTGGAGCAGAGAGAGGTGCATACATTTTGCCTGTGCACCCATTTGCAGTTCTCTCTCATGAAGCCATTATTGCGTCGGCCCTTGGTTCAGCCTGAGTGGGTTTTATGGAGCGATCTGCAAAGTTGGAGCTATAAAAATAGAGAGGAGAGAGTGAGAAGAGAGAGAAAGTGAGGTGAGTCTGGGCTGTCCAGACACTTGGTCCACTCAAAACTGTTCCAAAGATGAGAGTTGAATGCTATTTCCATAGGCAAGGACCACACACACTGAAAAACATCTCAAAACTATGTTAGTTCAGATAATAAAATGTGCACTATTTAACTTTTCTGTTGATGTTAAACCCTCTGTCTCCATGGTGACAAACAGGCAACACTATTTGGCCAAGTTACAGGTCAGATCTGTGGAGAAGACAGATCGCATGCTTTTTTTTTTTTAGATACTTTTTGTTCAATAAAAACACCCCAGGATATACTGTGGAACATTACAGCAATGCAATCACATCTCCATGGAGACAAGCAGGTTGTGAACCTACCACCAGAAAAGTTACACAAAAGTAACTTTTAATTCTGATTCTGATCAGTTGA